TTCTAAAGTGGTGAAAATTGAGCATCAACACCGTTTGTTTCACGTTGCATCCCATCCGCGTCGAAAAGTTTGAGTGTCCGATACAGTTCCACACAATGTGGGCGACGCACGGCGTAGTCTGGTAGGTGACGCCAACGCCCCCGTCGTCGCGGCGTGACGTGCCAGCGACCGTCGCTACGCTAGGGCGCGCCAGTCTCTGCACGACCGCGACGCGAGCAGAGTCGGCCGGTGCGATGTGAACGCATAACCTCCTACACTGTCTGTCACGACAGCCACTGTTGCGTGTGCACAGCCACTGTTACATTTTGTATCATTAACTTTGTGTTGACGATTGTTCTCAATCACCCGTGTTCCGGATACATGTAAGTGAAGTTTCTGTGTCATCATTAACCTCGGTGTCCCGCACTACTGACACATTTTGTCCAAATTCCGAAGTGCCGTGCCCGCGTGACGAAAGTCGAAACTGTCGAAATATCTGCAGTCTTCCCAGATGGTCATATTCTTTGGTCAGGTAAATGGTTTATTGCTGAGTAGCACTTTTTTCGGTCAGTAGTTCATGCTTCTTTAGTTTCAGCAGTTTTTCATTGTTTGATATCAACAGGTGATCATTTTGCCTGATGTGTGCCACGTTTTTTGTATGTCTTATCGTCTTTCACGTTCTATTTCTTATCAATTATGTGCCCCGACTACATATTGGTTGCTGCTAGTTTAGAAAACGTGGCTCAAACAATAGTCACTTGCAATTATTATTTTTGCACTAATTGCTTTTCTCTCAGCATGAGAATTTGGATTTGTTATTCTTAGTTTTTCGTATATTTTGTTTCTATACCATTTGTGCTTGTTAGTCTATTTCTCCTTTGTTTTGTTTTAGTCAGTAGAGTCTATGATATTTTTAAACAATTTAATTTAACACAGTTTAGTAACGCACGTCATCAAACATTTACATCTGTAGGCATTGTGTTCTTCTTCCTACTATTCTCATTACACTATTCCGAATTCTCACCACAAATTCTTGAAGGAAACAATTTGGGAAGTGTTAAATTGGTCAGTACCTGCATAATTGCAATTACTTCAAATGATCAATACTACAGTTAGAGAGGCAAAATAAATGGTTTTTAGTTTAATTAATTTGCGGGTCGATTGCTGTATTAATTACGCAAACCAATTTACTTATAGTTGGGTGCGGCGCCATGCCCGCTTCCCTTTCGTTGGCGTTGTCCCGAGCAATACAATAAATTACAATTTATTTCAGGCCTCATTCCGGTGTTGACTTGTTGGCGACAATAACTTGCTTGCTAACAGCTTTATATAAATTGTTATCTCTTTTCAAGATGATGTCAGTGTCGATGTCACGGTAACGCGGTCAAAAACCGATTGACATAGCATTAATAATCTCGTTTGAGTTGATTGGAACATTTGCATATGTAAATTTAGCTACAAATACCTTCCCAATTCTAATACAAGCTCGTAGATAATTCTAACAATGAATATGTCAGGTAAAATCAATACGCCACGGTTTTACGCGACCGCTATTTTGATCCATTAATAGAATTTCGATTAACATGGTAGTAGACACAAAAAGATTCGTTAGAATGGATAAGCCCCAATCCCTTTTGGTTCATTATCGTAAACGAATTTGTTTGAATAGAAAGTCTTATCTATCCATCTTATTTTCTTGATATGAATTGACGTCAAGGCCATACGGCTTAGAGTATTCAAGATGAGGAATTTGCATCCATTTAACAAATTCTGTTGTATATTTGAATTTTTAATAATTCTACTCTATCTTCAAATACGCTTGCAATATTAGTCATTCTTTACCGATGACGTTGTTGGTCAAGGAGTTATCATGGCTTATATTAGCATTTTGCGCAGTGTATTTAAGTAGCGGAAATTACATTTCGTTGCTTTCAACGTCTTTTAATGCCTTGTAGTCACTAGTAACAATAAACTTATACATGAAATTTCGTGGTAGTTCAATTTGCATTTAATGCTGTACTAACTTTACAAAGTTTGTATTTTCTATTCGCATTCGTGGCCATTAGAGTTACGTGACTAAATCATAAGCTATCGTACTCAGCCTCGCTCTGCGGTAATCCCTCGGGATATACCACGAGAAAAGCTACATTGTATACGGACATTTGTCTATGTGCATGGTATATAAATGTTTCATTGTAACTGTTGCAGGCTGTTTCTATTCATATTTTTATAATAGAAACCCAAAAAGATTAGCGTGAACTCCCCAAAGCAAAAAGTCTGTTTTTATAAAAGAAAATGGCCATTTAAACACAGTTCTTAACAAAAGACATCAGGGCGCGTTTGTTCCAAGAATTACTGGTAATGTGGCAAGCAGGTACGTCCAGTACCAGTCGCATACTAGCATAGCATTGTAGAACACGGACGACCTCGACAGGCTAATGCAAGCGGAACACGGCACCAGCGTTATTGTGACTACACCAATATTTTGTCGCCGCCTCACACATAGGTTTGTTGCATATCTTGACATGTTTTATCCATTATGTATCGTCCACTGCAGCTGTTGTGGTTTTTGATGTCCTCTGTGGTTTGTTTGCCACGTGTCTGCCTCCTGTATCAGATGATGCTATGTTATGCAATACGTCTATTGACTTCCATTGTGTCCAATCCGATGCCAATGCTATTAATAGACCAATAACATCCGTGCTCACATCCTCGTGCCCTTGCATTGAAAATAATACCCATTGTACTGCTAATGATGCAAATTGTCCATATCAGCCATTACCTCTTGGGGGTTATTGTTAGAGACGGTCTAATGGTTGTGCAGACGTTCACAATACTGCAGTCCATGTAGAGTGCACAACTGTATGTATACCAGTCTGGAGTTTATCGACCGTCCCGTCTAGCCGGTATTCGGACAATCTTCTAGCCTTCAGCTACAATATATTAAATCTCTTATCTGCCCTCTCAGCAAGTCAACCGAATTCGTCTGGGCTATTCGATTTTATACGTATATTGCCGATCGTTTTGGTAACATATTCGATTCTGAAATAATTCGTGTAGTTGAACGTGTATATGCCTTAAAACAACTGTCGTCTGCTAACACGATTCGGGTAGTAAATTGGTTCTCGAATGCCCTTTTAAATATTTTCAAGAGCAGAGTTTATTGCCCGTCTGTTGGTTGCTAAGCTAGTAACTATTGTACCATGTAGACTCGCGAGTTCACAAAAGTTTCTCAAAATCATTTAACATTTGAATTTAGTTATTAAGTAAAGTTTTATAGCTTTTGTCTTTAATAATTTTAATAAACCAAATGGTACTTACGTACGACTCCAAAACTCTGGGTCATGTACCTGTTAAACGTTTATTGTTCTCACGTTAATATTTAATTGGTCTACGTATTTGTCTATTAAAGTGGGTGAATATCGGTTATAGGTGGACGTACTTTGGCTCCGTTTGAATAAATTACTCGTAGTAGTACCACGCTATTCTGGGACTATATTTACACATAAAGCCAGCGATTAATGTGTACATAGAACAGTCGTAAATTATTACTTCTAATTATAATTAAATACTGCCCGATTGGAAACCCAAAAGTATTATCTCTTGAATTGGTCGAGTAAATAAACAATTTATGTTCTATTTCCGTCCAAGGAAAATGGAGTCAAGATATTTTGATTAAGTTAGATGTGTTTACTCGCCTTTGTGGTCCAGTTTTCTCTTGGCCTCAGCCCAATTCTCTATTGCATTATCGGATTTGATAGGATCAATGAGAATTAAGTGTGTTTTGTACATTTCAATATTAGAGTGTTTATATATTGCGAGTTTTTTGTGATGTTCGAATCGATTTCGTATGACGTCTCGTTTCTATGTCGGAGTTCTGCCAAGTCTGTTGCGTCGTTGTCCCGGCAGTGTTCCTGAGTCTGCCTCCGGTCGAGCTCATTAGTCCTCGTGTTTATCGTCGCTTGTTATTATTACGAATATAATCCAGCAAAATTCTCTTTGAGTAAATTTCATCGGTCCAGATATGTCTTTCCTTTATAGGGCGAGTGATGTGTGTGACTCCGTACTTTTGATTTGTTATTCCGTTTTACCTCAGTTGCTCCAGATTTGCCAAGACCTCCAGTTCTTTAGGAATGTTCTCATAAGTGTGTAGTTCTTTGGTAAGATTTTGCAAATATTATTGTTTGTTCAGGTGTAAATTTTTATATTGTTGTTACTTCAGTGACGCTCATTTGTGAAATGGCCGCTGCGTGGATGTTATCATCACAAAACATTATAGATTTCTATTTTTAGTTGTGACCCTTGTTATTCGTCGCCAGTCCACGTTTGCACTCGATAGTGGCGCAGCTGACAATTTATTGACTTGTCACTTCTGAGAAACGTAATTATACTTTGCACGGCGTAAACAGTAGTGAGTCAGACTAGGCGCCTAGAGCAAACAAAGTTTAGTATAGTATCTAGAATAACAATGATTGCGCTCCTTCCTCATTGATTTTCATTGAGATATTCAAATGTCATTCAGTTACAAGTCAAAAGGCTTGAATCAAATAGCTCTAGAGGCAAAACAGCATTAGTCTGTTCAAAGTTTATATTATTCTTGCTCGTATATTTTGGTAACGTTTAGACACGAATACCCCAGGATCTGGATTATGTTGACACTATTACAATTATTTACTCTGGTTTGGCATCGTTAGTTTCTTTATTAACTTGCCAAATTCATAAATTAACATGCGTAATTATTTGTCCAGTTCCATCATGTTTTCTAGTTCTTGGTCAGTAGCTAAAATACCGCCACTGATTGTATCATCAATTCACGACTCGGTATAATATGTTTCATGGCCACGTTCGTTCATCGCATTCTTAGACAATCGATTTCCACGGATCTTCGATCATCATTTCAGTCACAGGACGTCCACCGCTCGCGGAACCTATGTTCATTCATATGCCTATGGCTGCCTAAATAATTTCCAGATTGACCAGTTTCTTGGACTTTGTCTAACCTTAATTTCTCTTGTCCCCAGCTGGATATCTCTTCTGTGGCGACATTGATGGAGTTCCGCTTGGACAGCGCGGAGTACTGCCAGGCTCAACACAAATAAACGCGAGGCATCAGTGCGTAGGAGCAGCGACCAGGACCGATGCTGCCGGGAGCGCGCCCAGGATATACGCACCCCACGGACACCTACCCACAGGTAAGCTAGACTAATCCCATATTTCTAGTTCTTTTTCCCACCATTGAAACTCCTGTGTAGCCAGGATCAACAGCTTGGCCTCCGGGCAGGCGGGGCACATAGCTCGTAGAGCTGCTGGCGGTTAGGGCAGAAAAATTCTCGGATGGCGACTACGTAGTGTAGGCAAGCCTTCCACTTGGTAGACCGACGGTATGGTGAAGGGCCCAGAAAGTACCTGGATGCGGACAACGCAAGACTGGTCGTTGTGGAAGTCCTTGGAGTCCTTTATCCAGCTATGGACGTTATTCGGCTGACATGAAACGAATCAACTTGACCTCCAATGAAAACTAACCAGTGTAGGCTGAACCGCCTCCAGGTACCTGTGATAGACAGCCAAAAGCCGTCATGATGACTGAACTCTAAGCACATAACAATCAATCAATCACGCATCAATCAAGCCATGACCGTGCCATGACTGATGGAACAATTGCATGACGTTTGCATGGGCGTATAACGGCAGCCATAAAACAAAACATCGCATTGATGCCGATACAACTGCGTACTACGAACGTCAAATTGACTGCAATTTCAAAACATGAGATGGGTGTATAAAATAAAGAATAGGTATGAATTTCTGAAGACTGCCAGAAAAAACCTATTATGCAGATAACATACCGTAAATTACAATATTGGCATAATGATATCCTCATTTTTCGTATACCTACCTCTATTTTGTTTAAATCTTCTTTATTTATTTTATATTTCGGATATTGAGATCGTCGCCCTTAAATCGGAACACCTAAATTTACAAATGTCACGGCAAGTATCGAGCATTATGAATGAAGCTTTCCAGCCAAGATTATTGAGGCCAAAAGGTCTTAGACATGAAAGTTAAAGGCAACTACACTCGGCATCAAATAAATCGCACCTCCCGCGACAAGCACTTTCAAACGTATGCATCCCCACTTCCCACCAACATTGGTACCATTTGAAAGCCTAGTTCTAAACTTCATTTCATTAAAGGATAGGTTTTTACCCCAAAAACGTGTCTTTACAAGGAGCCAGAGTCACTTCTTCAAAAAATAGGTAGTTACGCTATAGCCATTTTTTATGACTATAAGGGCCGATTTTTCAATCGTCGGATAACTTTAAACTGAAGAATAACTTTGGCAAATTGACAGTTTTAGTATGGGAATTATGTCAAAATGACAAGTTTATTCTATGGTTAAAAGATATCTGACGATTGAAAAATCAGCCCTAAAACTGTTAAGTTGGGATTAATCGCTATCCATCTGTTAAAGAGGACACGTGAGATCTTTATTTGGTTTTATAACCATAAAAATTGGTCTAATTGATCCCAGAGGTGAGCCCAAAGTGAGGTCTATTTTCAAGTCACATTTATGGTATATGTTAATCATTTATTTAGAAATGAAATGTATTTTTCTTTAAGGATATTTATTGGGCTTTCAAATAACACCAATATTGTTGGGGTACCATAATTGTGTCAGAAGAAAATCTTTAAAGTTCGCGTCGCGGAAGGTGCGGTTTATTTGATGTTGAGTGTTCCCCATTCTAAAGTCTAGTCGTGAGTGGAAAGTCTGAACGGGGATCGCTGAACCGATTCTAAGAAAACTTAGCCAATTTCTAAGAAGTAAATGCAAGAATGAGAAACTAAAAGTAAACTTAAGTAATTAAGGAAGAAACTCGCAATTTTTTGTTTACATCGGAAAAGTTTTGTTTGGTTATTATTGTACCCAAAGACAAGTTACGCGACATTGTTAGCGTTAATTAGCGCTTGATTAACTCGTCATAATTAAACTAATGAATAAACGCGACAGTTAATTTTATCACCACGTAGTTTAAACGATGATGGTTTGAATGTGTAGCTTGATTATACAAACGTGTATGTAGACCGCATCGGTTTACAATATGAACCTAGGTCATGCAGGTTACAAGTACTTACCCACGTACTGTAATGAGACACCGGATGTCAAATCAGGGTGGGGCACAGGAGCCGCTCGGTTACTGTCGTTATTGATCAGTCGTTATCTATCCCTGACCAACACCAGCCATCTACAAGTTTAACAAAAAATATTTACCAAAATCAAGCATTTATCAAAACAGACAACAGTTAAGACGTAGTGTTTACGGTGGACGTTATCACCTTGTGCCCACAGAGTTGAGTGCACAAGTATGTGAATGCGCTAACAAGTGACGCGCTTTTGGCTCCAGCTCAGCACTCTCGCGCATACCGCCGGTAAATAGACACACTCACACGTGACCCGTACTCCGCTTCAAAATTCAGACATAAACTATTTATAGACCGTTTTTTTATTCCTCTTCAGTCGTTGCTCTGGCTTTGACGCAAATACATCTCTAAAATGATAAACCTCGTAAATCCACGGCCGCGAGTGAATCCGCAAACATTCATACGTCTTTCATTTTTGTTTCAGTTACCCTGAATTCGAAGCCTGCTGTTAATTGGAGCATATCATTCAGTTGCCCGAAGTTCGTGTGAAGACAGCGACAAACTTATGTTACTCGCTTAATTTTTTTGATTTCATTCCACATTCAGTACTTTTGTTTGTTCGTTCACGAATGTGCTCAAGTGGTTGAAAGCGCCATCCATGCGGGCAGTTCCGATGATATAATTGGACCCTTTTAAAACAAAAGTCACGAAACTGCAGTGTGTTGTGTGGAAATAGAGTGACAGTTTGCTGTTAGACTTTGACGGACCGCGAGTCCTGTGACGCGAGTGAAGTGATCACCACCTGTGTTTGACGCGTTCGAGTCGACAAGGAGAGAAGGAAAGCAGTCACCATGAAGCAGAAGGACATCAGACCGGCTCCCTCGCTAATCGAGTACAAGACCATGCGGTTCTTGATCACCGACCGCCCCTCGGACGTCACCATCCAGTCCTACCTTCAGGTAAGCAGTCCAAAATATACTGAAACGACCTACTTCCATCAAGTTTCATCTCATCACTGTAAAAACGGAATAACCAAGACATGTTTACGAGAAAAGTTCTCCTGTACATGACTTCGTTTTATGTTATGGCGTTATTATTTTGTTTACTGGTCTTGTNCGTCTTGTTTTCCCTTTCATAATACATATTTTGAGTTAAGATGTAGGTGAGTGTAGTCATGTCTTACATTGTATAAGACGTCGGCAAACATTAGTCTTTCATTATTGTTGGAACTATAAACGAAAGTGTTAGATAAAACTGTATTCAGAGGCTTGTGTACACAACAACATATGGCTTGTGTCCAAGCGTTCAGATAAGAATTTATAACAAAGTAAATGTAATGTAAAGTACATTGGATGGACTTTAATAAGAGATTAAAAAGCGGTCTTGAAAAAACCCATTAGTTCAGAATAATATCGTCTGTATCAGTCTACTGCGAACTTTAATCCGATTGGTTTAACATTGTACTGACTTTGTCATTAACATATTCGTGAATAACTATTTTCGTCTCCAGACGTGTCGTCACTGCACCAGTTTTATCTCTCTGTCACGAATCTGTGACTTAACCATTAAACCACTTCCTTCCTTGCGAGATTAAAATATCAGATGCTATCCTTATTTAAAAATAACTTGTACATTTGTAGGTAACTTGTTTAGAATGATTCATAATGTGGAAATTATTGATAATTAATTGATTTATCAATCTGAAAGTCACTTTCAAGTTGCGAGACGGAGTTCTAAGCTGTTCCATAGGGTTTAAGTAGGCTGTTCCACCAGGATAGATAGGCTGGTCCACCCAAGATAGACTGTTCACCCCGGGCTAGGCAAGCTGTTCCACCAAAGATAAGATGGGCTGTTCCATTCTGAATAGATACTGTTCCACCGAAGCTAAATAGGCTGTTCCACCGAAGCTAAATAGGCTGTTCCACCGAAGCTAAATAGGCTGTTCCACCGAGGTTAGCTAAGCTGCACCACCGAGGACAGATAGGCTGTTCTACCGAGCATAAATAGGCTATTCGACTCAAGATAAATAGGCTGTTCCACTAAAGACAGATAGGCTGTTCCAACCAAGATAGATAGGCTGTTCCACTAAAGATAGATAGGCTGTTCCAACCAAGATAGATAGGCTGTTCCACCAGAATAGATAGGCTGTTCCACCCAAGATAGATAGGCTGTTCCAGCCAAGATAGATGGGATGTTACAGCCAAGATAGATAGGCTGTCCACCTCAGATTAAGATAGCTAAAGCTCCATCTTCTTCCAGGAGTTGCGCAAGCACAACGTGTGCACCGTAGTGCGCGTGTGTGAGCCCAGCTACGACACGTCACCGCTGAAGGCAGAGGGCATCGAGGTCCGCGACCTGGCCTACGACGATGGCACCTTCCCGCCGACTAACGTCGTCGAGGAGTGGTTCGAGATACTGCGCGAGAAGTGAGTACAATTTTTTGATATCTTAGGTGATGAAGAACTGCGGGGTTGCTCCGAAAAATATACGAAGTTTTACGCGAGAAGTGAGTACATTTCTTTTGCTTTCTTAGGTGATGAAGGACTGCGGGGTTACCATACAAAGTTTAGAATGGTGCCATCCCTCTCACGCAAAGTGACAGTGACCCGAAACTGCGTAAAAAGCGTTTCGGAGTAGCCCCGCTGGAGTGGAAGCATACTAAAATTCAAAATTATTTATTTGTCGATAAAAGTCTTAACAATGATGTTATGAGCTTCATCCTTTTAAGTTTGTAAAACTTGTGTTAGAATGAGACTGCTCTTCTGTATGATAACTTGGGCCGGGTTGCACCATCTTACCCCAAACCCTGACAGACGCCAAAAATCTCTCAAACTCCATACAAAAACTACTTAAAGGGCTTCCACTCTTTTCCGACACAAGATGAACGGTGGATAGGTTTGATGCGTAAAGTTCGCAAATAGGACGAGCACTATGCACCTCCTGGCTGCCACACGTAGCTAGAAGACTGTTCAAACGGTACGCAAACTATTTTGCATATGACCCGCGCTAGATTTACGTTGTGATGCAGAGTCAACTTTGTCTTGGTAACCCTGAGGGCCTTTAATCACCAAATGATTTTAAAAAGATTACGGTTTCTGAAATATCTGTACCTATAAGTACAATCAGTATTGATGGTCTACCAGTCGCCACATGAATTAATTAATCAGTCTATTGTTCTTTCGATAACAATATCGAGGAAAAAAGATCCCGAATTCTTACGATATCATGAGTAATAAGCAACTCATTTGTTGCCCTATTAAGTTTATTGATACGTCAAGTGTTTATGAGCCGTGTTTTAATTACAAAAGAAACACTTGCCACAGTTGCCACTTGCGGGCACGAACAATAGAAGCTACAATGACTGGGAACGGAATTTACGTGACACTCGTCACGTCTCACGTACGGCGTCTTCATCTTAGTTACGTATTTGGATCGGTTTTCTTTTAACTTGTGGGTCATTCTAACTGTATACCGAGCAAATTTACAACCTAATAATTATTTAGAAAGAAAAGATTTTTTTTATTTGGTTCAAAACAAAATTATAGCTTTTACTATAATGATCGGTGATGACGCTCATATCTTACTCTTTAGAAAACTTCTAAGATAATAATTGCTAACCTTGCCAACGCGTTATACAATGGCTTTGCTTTACGAGCGGCGAACCTGCTTAAGGAAACTAATATTTGTATAATGCTGCCTCAGTCATTAACAGAATAGCAGGCACGTGCCTCGTTACCCGTGTCCCGTACTACCTACGTATAGTTTCTTATAACAACCAGAACTATGAGTTTTTATGGGGCTAGTAGATGGCAAGAGTGAAACAGTGTAATTTCAGAGCATTCTATAGTGACAGAGTTTCTCAGCGTAGACTTCTAATTGCCAATTGATTGAGTATTTATCACGTCCTCCATGCTTAAGCGATCCTAATGACAAGGAAGCGGAACAGCAGCGTCATTGTGTCCATTAATGCGTTTTAACACCCACCAATGACGCACATTCATAGCATTCTGTTGTGCAAGTCGCTCCTGCTTACGTATTCTGATTAACCTATTTCTCGTCGAACAATATGGAAGGCTGGCTATTGTGATGACGACGCCCACGCGACAACTACGTAAACTAAATGGAATTATTTTGTTCGCATGTACAGATGTTATGTAAAACTGAACGTAACTAACAGAATAACTGTACAATATCGAGTTGTGTTTTAACTTAAGTGAATTTCACGAAACGAATCGAATTTAGCAACGAAAATGATACGATACACCAAATATTATGCAAAACTGATTGTGTACCGTGCATGCAATCTTAACATAAACCCAAACCAATATCTTCTGACCGAACATTTTGTTTGCACGCGAATTTGTATATCACCTTCGTGCTAACGTCATTTCAGATAACAGTCAGTAACTCAGTGTATACCTAATCAATCTTCTGTAAAATATTGATTTACAAGTTTATTGGAATTATATTGGTTAGCAAAAACTGCAATATTGAACATTTTGCTGTAACCTGAGTTTCATGCACTGCTTCTTCTATCATCATTACAAATAATATCTATGTTTGGAACGCGTCAATTAAGAGGATGATCCACATTCTCGACCAGTGCCAAGACTCCTGATCCCTTTGTTATTTAAAAAATCTGACAGCTACAGTAACTACTGTCTTGACTTTCCTAAATAAGTTCAAAGACCTTTTTTTAGCAAAAGAGTTCGCAATAGTTAGGAAAATTGAATAGGGATAGGTACGTCGGAGTAAAGTTTGAGAAATCCTGCTGAATGTCACAAATACCGCGTATAGTGTACCAAGTGTTCCTCCCAAATCAAACCATTCCGTCCAAAATAAAATAAATAAAACTTTTCCCCGACCAGTATGACCAACGTGGTCAGTTTAGGCCAAATCTAATCTAAGCTCCTGCAGTGGAGACTTAAACACGAATGACCTGTAGCCTTTTGAAACAGTCAAAATCTCGTTGATGTTTAGAAGTCGTCCTATCGAAAAACAGTTCTAAATTCGTATTCATAAGGCTCATTTCGATAGACCGATTACTCGATGGGATCGCAACTCGATTTGTTGTCGTTGATGTTTTATTCTTCTTCTTTTCGTGTCGGCAACAAACCTACACAGTGTCATCCCAAAACTCCGCCACAAGAGTGGCGTTGTCAGTAGCACTCATCAAATCCTCCTGAGTGCAGTTGCTTGGGCACTCAGGGCATGACATCAGATGCTTCATCGACTGGGGAACAAAACCACACCTGCACTCCATGTTTAACCTATCCAAGAATCCCCACCTGACCAGATTGTCCTTACTACGGCCAACCTGCGTCCGAAGTCTATTTAAAGACTTCCAGGTAAGCCAGGGGAGCTCATGTCCAGGTGGAGGACTCTCAGATCATAGGGACAAAAGGGCAGGGGAGATAAGTTTTATTACGTGAATAAGACTACTGTATGCCTAGCATGCGCGCCGCGACTTATCGCGCCATTTTATCGACTTCACACGATAAGCCCAATTTGTCGCCTAAAATTATCGATAAAATTTTATCACGGCGCGCGTCCTAGCCCGGCTGATTATGATTATTCCCAAATATAACCAAGCGTTCTTTGCAGGGCCCAGAACAAGCCTGAAGCAGCAGTGGCGGTGCACTGCGTGGCCGGACTGGGCCGCGCTCCCGTCATGGTGGCCATCGCGCTGATCGAGCTCGGCATGAAGTACGAGGAGGCCGTCGAGACCATCAGAGAGTGAGTATACACGTTTATTTTACTAGTTGAGCGGTAGTTTTGGCTCAATGGAGTCGTGTTAATGCAATATGGATCTATTTTGACCGCTATATTATTAAAATTCGACTCCTGCGGTGTTACTCTGCAAAACGTTATCCAAAGTTTCGAATGTTGCCATTTATTAGTTGAGGGGTAGTTCTAGTTCGAAAGAGTCGTATCACTACGGTATGAATATGTTGTGATCGCTATATTACAATTTGCCTCCGAGTCCTGCGGGATTACTCGGAAAAACATTATCTGAAGCTTCGAATATTGCCATTACTCTCACGCAAAGCGAAATGCCAGCATGAGTAACGGGACAGATTCCCGAAACAGTAAAGAGCGTTCCAGAGTGGCCCTGCTGCATCTATTAGGTCGTGCAGTATCAACAGATACTGGGGACCGATATGTAATTTTTACACTTGACACACTGACTAGTATTAAATGAGGCATGTCTCCTGTAAAGAGAATGAGCTTCTGTTTTGTAGCGAGCTAGTAAGTAGTGGCACTGTTTCTGTTTAGTAAACAGCGATACATTCATTTTTTTTTTTCAAATTAAGATGAAGCCCTATGTCAGTACGATAAAAAATCGCATCTCTACGACCCGAAGTTTACATTAGACGTTAAATTTTAGTTTATTCTATAAATTTTAAGTTGTATAATTTTGTTTTCAGCCAACGCCGCGGAGCCATAAACGCGAAGCAGCTGTCTTACCTGGAGAAGTACCGACCGAAGTCGCGACTGAAAAGAACGGGCACAAAAACGCCTGCTGCGTGCAGTAGCGCCGTCCGCAGGAACCGAGCTCTGCTTTCACACACACACTAACACACGGGAGCATAGACAACAATCAATTATTTTTTATTCCTAGTATGTCGCCTCTTTTCGACGACTTTCCGTTCGTTTTCCTTTATATTTTTTCTAATACGACGAGATTTAACCAAATTCTCAAAGAAAACAACCGACGACGGAAACACACATTCCTGTTTTCAACGAACTGAACTAGGATTTGGTTAATCTCGGCTCCTCTATTGCGTCTTCGACATATTTATCACGAGTTTTGTACGAAATTTAATGCTATTTGTATGTTCGAAGTAAAGGTGTATAACCCTCGTGCTGTACTGTGTATTAGTGGAATATGTTAAATAGAAGCGAGCCACAATTTGTGTTCATAGTTGAAACAGTTACTCGGGTATTTATATATTTTAAAATCATAATAAATTCAATATCCATAATAAACGCAATGCAGTCAATCAATATTAATATGCTCTTAGATTTTCAATTAATTCTTTTGTGTGGTGAAATCATGATATAATTTCGTAATTAATTCCTTTTTGTAGCGACTTAATTTAATTTTAATAAATTACGACATAATAGAGAACTTATGTATGATTTGTGTCTTAGGGAAAATCGATTTTGACAAATATTTTAATAAAATTATGCTTTTGTGAAATGTTGTGACAATATTGTGTTTTGTATCCAAAACTCAACTGAGCTTAGGTTAAACTGAAAATTGATACAACCTTTGATTCGGTTATCTAAAATTTCTAATTAATAGATACCCATACACAATACAATTTGACTCACTGATGTTCCAATAAAAAATAGCTCTTTGATATTATTTTTCTATTTCTAATTTTATGAAGATTATCGAAGTATATGATCGTGTATCGACGGAACAGTCACATTCATAAATAAAAATATTTATAAGCAACAAATGTTTCATTTCCATATTCCTAATTTAGNTTAATTACATAAATCTCAATTTTAGTGACTAGTGAAATATTTCACTCAATTCATATCCTAAAGAAGTTTCCTCAGACAAAATTTACATAACTCGTTAATTTTTAAAAATCTTCCTAAGCCCGGATACAGGGTTTGCATGGGAACTTTGCATGGTAACGCCTCGTAATGCCGTTTACACAACACACGCATTACATTATACAGGGTGTTAGGTAAATGGGTATTTGAGCCGACACTAACCTATGTAACATGGTCATATAAATGGTATGGTGAAGTCAGAAAATTGATATCTTCATTTTAATTATTTTAATTTTCATACAAATCGGATTTTATAAAATTTATTTTGTATGATAATTTAAAAAATTAAAATGATGATATCAAATTTCTGACTTCACCATACCATTTATATGCCCATGTTAACATGGGCTAGTGTCGGCTCATATACCCATTTACCTAACACCCTGTAGATTACTTTTTACGCGTCTTGAGATTGAGCACTAAGGGCCAACGCTGCGTTACGCGGACGCAGGCGCGGGCTTATACAAAACTAGCTTTTGCCCGCGGCTTCACCCGCGTGAAATTTAGTGTCACAGATTGGCATAAATTATAGCCTATATGTTAATCTGGGTTACAAACAATAATACTGTAAAGTTTCAACAAAATCAGTTCAGTTTTTGCGTGAAAGAGTAACAAACATCCAGACATCCACACAAACTTTCGCATTCATAATATTAGTAGGATTGACCTCTCGCGGGATCCGCTGCTGTCAGCGTTGACCCTAAAACTATAATAAATTACTAGGAATGCTTGGAATAAGGAATAAGAAAAAAACTTGTTAAAAAAGTAATAACAAATTAATATGTATTGCGATTCTTTCTATTGCTTTAAGAATTATTTGAACACAATCACATAAGTAACAACCCTTAACTCTTAACAATTAATGAGGTAATGCAGTTTTGTACTTTAAATCACATATCGATATTATTGCAATATGTAAAAAAAAGGCTTTCAACTAGTGGATATCTTGATTAACCACTGCCGAATATAATATTGGCTTATTGAATAAATATATAAAATTATCTTAAGATAATTAAATACTAAAAATACCAAAATTCGATAATCTAACTTGTAAGTACGAAAAACATCTTTACTATGGTAAATAGCGATTCAAAAGTGAGAATACAATCCTTATTTCTTCGGCACGTATTTGTGTACTTTTCCACCGTACCTTGCGACAAATGCCTTGACGTCGAACTTTCTTTTGCATCCTTCGTAGTTCATAAAGCGGATCTTTCCGAAGATCGCTCTCTCCGCCCAGCCTTGGTCGTGGATGCCACATATTGACCACATGCAACCTGAAAGAAGATTGTGAAAATGAGTTATAACAAAATATTCAATGAAATTGAAATATCCAGACAACATACCTAATAAATAATCATAGCAAGGAAAGAGTAAAATATAATTTAAAGCTTTAGTGAATGAACGAAAAATAAGATCTGGAGATAAAATATTGAAATGGGCGATTTCATGGTTCTCATGACCTTCATAGGTGGCAAACTTTGGCTGTAGGGTATGTAGCTGAATATAAGAAAAAAAAAGATTTTTTTTAAAGAATATTAGCAACTTGTAAATACAAATTACTAATAATCCTGTTAACCCCTTGTGGTAAGCTAAAATATGTTACGAGTGGGTTCACCAGAACAGTCGAGCGGCGCGCCGGGGGTTCAAACCCGCGTTCTTCGGATCACGAGTCGGCCAGTCCGAGCCCTTCACAGTTCAGGACAAGCTTTCCATGGCACTATTTAATCTATTCGTAATAGAGAAACTAAGGAAATTGAACTCACCAACATAGCCATTTGGGTCTCGCCCATCCACACTATAGTGGTCATTCAAGTAAATGCTGTACTTGAGGGCATCCTCAGGTGAGGGGGTCCACTCCAGAATCTTTTTACACCAGTACATTCTGAGGAAGCCGTGCATCTTGCCTTCTTTAACTAGCTGAATCTGGGCAGAGTTCCACAGATCGTCGTGTGTTTCTCCTTTTGATAGCTGCTCCAGTGTGTATATGTACTGTCTTTTGTCCTTTCTGTAAGTTAATCATTGATTTATTTTAAAAGTAATGTTGAATTAAGTGTATTAACACACAAAATTGTCCAATTTTTATAGTGTCAGACACTATAAAAGTGTTGACACTATAAAAGCAAAAGCAGATGCTAACGATCAGGATAATTGTAAGTTTTCATTATGAGAAGTTGTCATTTCGAGAAGTTGGCATTTTGAGAAGTTGGCATTTTGAGAAGTTGGCATTTCGCGAAGTTGGCATTTCGAGAAGTTGGCATTCTGAGAAGTTGTCATTTTGCGAGCGGTTGGCATTCTGAGCATAAACGCTATCAGGCTGTAGTGACTCAAATGAATTATAAGAATGGAGTACTGGTTTGAGAATTGTCTGTCTACTTACTGGGAGAGAAGCCCTAAGTTTAAGTTCGCCCTCTCACTTCTTTGAGCAAAAAATGTCAACTCGGGGTCAAGGGAAAAAATATAAGCGTAGAGTAGGTACTATAACAGTTTTAGTGCAAAAAAAGCAGTCTTAAATTGTATTTGATGATACATCGCGCCATTGAAACCATCCAGACTTCAATTCAGCATCTGACGACTACAAGAGCTGTAGTAGGCGAAAGGTGGTTATAGTCCAACCAACACAAAGCATAAAGAAACGTATGGTGTGTATAATAAATATCTTAAAACATTGCAACTCCACCTAGTGGGAGACCTGCCTGACCATACGTCTAAAGTCGCGGGCAACACAGGACTCATTGTTGTGGAAATTCTTTGGGGAGGCCTTTGTCCAGCAGTGGACGTCATTGGTTGAAACGAACAAATGCCACTCACCTGTGGTCGTCCAAGGTCTTCTGCGCCCAATTACTCGCGCCCTTGAGGCTGTCATAGTGTTCACAATAGAAGCAGAAGTTGTCGGCCAGCTCGCTGCGCACGATCGCTTCTTCTAGGAACGCGTTGACGCTCTCGGTGCACTTAGATTTGTACTCTTGGACGCATAGCGCCACTCTCTGCACTGATATTTGACCTGAAATCATGTTTTTATTATGTGTTAAAATCTTATATTGTCTTTAACTTTTATGTTCACTAACATAATAATTATTACTAATTGAGGAAACTCAGTTATTCTGTGACCATTGCACATGTAACAGTGTCGAAATATCGGAAACTCAAAATTAAGGAACATTGTAGCAATCCCGTTAATAATAAAATTATTGTGTTAAAATCTTATTTTATGAATCTGGGCATGGACCTATAAAAAAAGTCGGACGGAGTCTCATCAACAAAATACTGTGACATTAGGATACACCAGCTTGCCTGTACGTACAGGCCGGCACGCACACATTCACACCCTGTTACACCACTTCGAGAGCAAACTTCACACAGTTGACACATTTAAGCAGCGAAAAAACAACACGAATACGACATGTCTTGTGTGATGAAATTGTGTAAAAACCGTTCTGTTCGAAAAAACAAAAATTAAGGAATCACATTTCACAGGCAAAATAATAATCCAATCACTTATTTCCCGACATTAAAATATTGAAATTCATTGAAATNTGGCTTCTCTTTTCTGATTTTAAATACCTAAAAGTAGCAGGGAAATTCCATTTAATATTACTATGAATCTTAAGTCTAATAGACTTACCAAAATGAAACCAAGGTGATAGATTACTCAGAGCATCTTGCGTTGGGTCGTTCCTCTTGGTGGAGAATATTTTCAACCTCTTATCTAAGAAGCTCTTGAGCGTCTTCACAGCCTCATCATAGCCGGGGTTGGCCCACTCTATGGGCCCCACTGACTTGTCTGCCTCTCTGGACTCTATGGCTTTATCCCAATCTATTGGCTGAAAATATAACACAAAAAATGCTTGTTGTTACTAAATTATGTGCTTTGATTTCAAGATTAAATAGAAGTGGATTCAACAAAAGGATTGAGATCCACATACAGGACCTACTTCTATAGTTACTATCCTTACTGTAGGTTAATGTAAAATATTAATATAAATATAAGAAATTAAATATGTTTTTCTTTAAGGATATTTATTGGGCTTTCAAATAACACCAATATTGTAAGAAAATCTTTGAAGTTCGCGTCGCGGGAGGTGCGATTTAGCTTAGGATTCTTTCTTACTTAAATTATAGAAAACTTTATTCACCTCTGGCTCAAACTTGCTTGTGTAAGGGTGTCTGATGACTGGAGGGAACTCTGTCAAATATTCCCCAAGTTTTGAGTTGATTTTGTTCCTGATAGTCCGGGCTGAGTACTCTTGCTTGTCGGAGGCTTCCCAGCACGGGACCACATTGTGGGCATCTACCTGTAACATTAAAAACAGTATTTGAGATAGGTGAATAATTTTATTTAGCCTTTATCTGGATCTAAATCTTAATTAGGAATTAACGCCTACAGTATATTAATATTGACAATAGTTTTTATCCAATGTTACACATAAATTCACATGCCAGCTGCGCTGGTGAGATAAGCTGCACCTCTTTTTAACTTGAGACTACATTTATTGTACCACATTATCTCTGTGAATAAATAATCTTTGAATCATAAAAGGGTTCTATAATTTAGATTTTTTTATACTAGCTGACCTGGCGACTGCCTATGTTCATCAGAAATTATGTAGAATTCTAATAGTGAAAGAGTTTTTCAATTCGTTCCAGTAGTTTTAGAGCCTATTTTATGAAACTGCTGAAACTACTATCTTTCCTCTTTATAATATTACTTTAGATTATGGTATAAATAAACCTGTATCAAAGGCACATCCTTCTTCAGCTTTTTTTTGCAACCTTCCAGCCATCCCATGGGCACTCTCAGGGGGTTGAAGTCACACACCACGGCCCCAATGTTGTGGTCTATGACCCACTGGGGCAGAGCGTCCGCTCCACTGCCTTCCAGCAAATGGAATGATATGTTGAGTTTCTTGCAATCTGCTGCTACTTTTTCTAGGCCTGAAATTTTGTAGTAAACAATGGATTAATAACTAAACAAATAAGTATTAGAAGGCGGAATCACAGCTCTCAGTTTTTTAGATATTATTAAACATACAATAATGGAATGTTGGTTCAAAACTTTGTAATACTTTAAAATGAAATCTAGCCTATTGTNAGGTCCATGAATCTGGGCATACTCTTGTGCTGTTTAAAAGTTTGCTCTAACTTATAAGCTTTAAATGACTTATCATCATCTGGCACACCAAAGTTGCTGATGATGATGTTAGTTATTCAAATTCAAATTCAAATCTTTATTGCGTACTAAGTGACAATTATTGTAATGGTGGAAATTACATACACATGGGCTTAAGACTTAGTGACCTAGGAGGTATTGCAACAGATGTGACAGATGTGACAGCAGACAACACTTATTCAACCTACTTGGTGTAAGAAATTATTCAGGTAAGTATGTACAATATTAGAAAAGTTTTTTTGGGATATCTATAAACTAAAACTAGGTATAGCCTGACCAGGAACATAAAAACCCTGGCATAGAGGCGCGTCAATTGCATTTGATAGTGCAACACTGAGTACAGTCGTACCTGTGTTAAATTAATAGGCTAACTTTATTTATCAGGATTCAGGATTACGAGCTAATTTGATATTTTCATAAATTATCGAAAAAACATTATTATGGTAACCTGGTTTAAATAAATTAAATGAAACCATCAATCGAGTTAGTATGATTTATTTCATTATTCATCAATAATCAAATTCAGAACTTGAATATTCAACTGCAATGTCTGCTCATGAACGCTTCAAACTCGGTACTTCTTTCCCAATTCCATAAAATTCAACACTTAGAAAGTGACAAAAAACTTTAAAATAGGTATTTGAAACAAACCACAGTTAATTTTCATAGTGGACTGTACTATACGATAAACATGTCAGTCAATTTGACAACCTTTGTCGGAAACATTATTCAATGAAAATATTGTCCGAACCCTTAGTATTTCTCTTCGACAAATATTTAACACATTGTGAACCACTTTTCTTTCACGACTATAAAAAAATTTTAGCAATTTAATTCACAAAATCAATTGCGCACATTTAAAATAAAGTTTGTTTACACTTTGACAGCAATAGACTGACATGCAAGGTGACATGTCAATGAAGTTTTCAGTTACTGTTGCCATTAAAAGAAATTAGTACCATTAGTTTTCCGCAACATGGCGAGGGTTTTTATGTTCCTGGTCAGGCTATAAATATTTAAAAAGACAGTAATTGTAACATAATGGCTTCTCTTTTCTGATTTTAAATACCTAAAAGTAGCAGGGAAATTCCATTTAATATTACTATGAATCTTAAGTCTAATAGACTTACCAAAATGAAACCAAGGTGATAGATTACTCAGAGCATCTTGCGTTGGGTCGTTCCTCTTGGTGGAGAATATTTTCAACCTCTTATCTAAGAAGCTCTTGAGCGTCTTCACAGCCTCATCATAGCCGGGGTTGGCCCACTCTATGGGCCCCACTGACTTGTCTGCCTCTCTGGACTCTATGGCTTTATCCCAATCTATTGGCTGAAAATATAACACAAAAAATGCTTGTTGTTACTAAATTATGTGCTTTGATTTCAAGATTAAATAGAAGTGGATTCAACAAAAGGATTGAGATCCACATACAGGACCTACTTCTATAGTTACTATCCTTACTGTAGGTTAATGTAAAATATTAATATAAATATAAGAAATTAAATATGTTTTTCTTTAAGGATATTTATTGGGCTTTCAAATAACACCAATATTGTAAGAAAATCTTTGAAGTTCGCGTCGCGGGAGGTGCGATTTAGCTTAGGATTCTTTCTTACTTAAATTATAGAAAACTTTATTCACCTCTGGCTCAAACTTGCTTGTGTAAGGGTGTCTGATGACTGGAGGGAACTCTGTCAAATATTCCCCAAGTTTTGAGTTGATTTTGTTCCTGATAGTCCGGGCTGAGTACTCTTGCTTGTCGGAGGCTTCCCAGCACGGGACCACGTTGTGGGCATCTACCTGTAAACATCAACAGCATTTGAGATAAGTGGAGAATTTGAGCAACATTTAAACCTTAGAACAAGACATGCAAGCTGAAATTTCAAATAATTGGTCTCACTAAAAGTCCGCTGATATTTTAAGTATCTGTAGATCAATCTGATTGCTGTAGTCAATTGTTCAACAGAGTATTCAATTTTATTTAGCAGAAGCAAAGTAGTTACTCTAGTTTTTGGATTCATTCTTGCAGGACAATGTAATTTTAAATATTAGTATATTAAAGATATAAACCTGTATTAAAGGCACATCCTTCTTCAGCTTTTTTTTGCAACCTTCAAGCCATCCCATGGGCACTCTCAGGGGGTTGAAGTCACACACCACGGCCCCAATGTTGTGGTCTATGACCCACTGGGGCAGAGCGTCCGCTCCACTGCCTTCCAGCAAATGGAATGATATGTTGAGTTTCTTGCAATCTGCTGCTACTTTTTCTAGGCCTGAAATTAAGTGAACCATGAATTAATAACTAAACAAATAATAAGTATCAGAAGGTGGAATCACTGCTCTGTTTTTTAGATATTATTATACATAATACAATAATGGAAGGTTGGTTCAAAACTTTGTAATACTTTAAAATGAAATCTAACCTATTGTTTGACAGTAAGTTCACCACCTGCAGGTACTGCCTAGATATCAAAAAACCTAAAAATTCGTTATAATAAAATGATGGGCAGTTTTGTTTTAGGTTTTCTTTCCAATTGGTTTATGAGTGGTATTTAATTTTTACAATATAACAATACCATTACCTTTAATCAGAAAGTGGAACTGTCTCACTGAAGCGTCCAGATACTTGGCAATCAGGCAGAAACACACATGCAGCGGGACTTCGTTCTTCAACGCAAGTTTTTGCGCGAATAGAAATGCCCAGTTATCTTGTACCCTACTGTCTCTAGACATCCAGTACACGATCCCTTCGCAATTCTCCGCCACCATCTGCTCCTGAGACACAATTCTAAGACGTTTTTTATTGAACTTATACTTTAAAATCGACTCTGCAGTGTCCTCACGTTTTGCTTGAATACTCTTCATCAATTCATCAAGGTTTGTCTTAGTTTCTGCACTTGTTGAAGGAACTGATAACTTAGCTTTCTTCGCGGCTGAAGCCATTTTATTCGCGTTGTGAAGAAATATGTATCTTAGTTGAAGAATTCTCATAAAATCAAATTATTTACTAATCGCCGCGTCCGCGCCACACCAAAACAGAATTTGACAGTAATGACAGATGATGAGAATGAATGAACGAGATGAATGAATGATGAAAAAAGGTGTCAAACTGCCACAGATATGGATTAGAGTAGATACAGCAAGTTGCTCGTCAAAGCGTGCCATTCCGATATGTCCAAATGGACATACATGGTCGAGTGATGTACACGTCAGCGTCGGACTGGCCATACAGTCAGGGTGGCATTTGCCAGCCGGGCCCCAGCCTACGCGGGCCCCCCACGGCCTGGGTTGCGGGGCATGCGGCAACCGTAGCACAGGGGGCCCGCGCAGCGTGGCCCCTGTGCTACGGTAGCCCGCGTGCATGTCTCGGAAACTATGCGTCGTACAAAAAAATTGTACAGTCATAATTTGTAGAAAATTGCTTTGCCTACAAATATGTTAATATACATTTTTACCTTAAATTAAAGATTGAAGAAGTTATTAGCAAAAAAAATCCTTTTTGCTTATGTATAACTTCTCTAATTTAATTTAGGACAAAAAGTTATGTAAACACAGGGCCTNGTTTATTTATCGGCAGAATCGTTTTCAAGTAGATGTTGTTATTTCTTTTGAAAAGTTGAAATCTTATCTAAATTAGGTATGGGAAGTGGTAGTGAATTAGTGATAACGAAAGTGCGTCAAATTCTATTGCGCCGCTAACGCCGATTAAAAAACGAAAAATACCAAAAAGACTCGAAATAAAATAAAACAGGCAATGCTAAAAAAATACATAAAATACACAAAAAATGTCAACAAATAATAAAAAATTATACTTTTTGAAAAAAATTCTGCTTTTAAATTCGTGTTTTTTTTGTTATTTGATCAATTTCTCCAAAAAATGCCCCTATAACAGGTGGTTTTTATTGCTTTGTATTATTCTCTATCGTATTACTTTTGCAAAACTAAAAATCGCATGTCTCTATCCTTATCACAACATATTATGTCAATTTTAAAATCTGCGCTAGAACAACGTAAAAAAGATATTTTTTTGGTTACAAAACAAAAAAAATGTTGCAATCATTAGAAGCAAAATCCCCCCACAGAAAGTTATGGAATTCAAAAGATTTTTTTGCTATTTCTTGATAAATGTTTAGACTATCTTAATAAATGGTTTGATTTCAGTGAAAGCAATTGGTTATTTAAAATCCAAAAATTAAATTTAAAAAAGGAGGTTTCATTTAATGACTGTGAGACAATATTAGAAGTTCTAAATTTACAAGAAAAATTGAGTATCAAAATGGACGACCTATACTCTGAAATAACGATATTGAATGAAATCTTTGCTAAATTAAAAGACTGTAGTGTAGTGACTTTACTGACAAAACTACAGGCCAAAAATGGCAGCATATTTTAAAAAATACTGAAAATGACTTACCAAATTATTTGAAGTAATTTCATTCCTGCTCTCTATTCCCGCCACTTCGGCATTTACAGAAAGGATATTTTCGGTTATGAATTCGAAGTGGCGAGAAGAAAGAAACAGAAGTAGTGTATAATTAATAAAAAATGAGCTTTTGATTTATATTAATTTAAAAATTGAATGTGACAATTGACAAAGCATATGACGCTTTTAAACAAAAAACTGTTAAACAGCGAAAGAACTGCAAAAAATCTAGTTTTTATAAAAATAAATAATTAAAAAATGTATATTTGTCTATTTTTTTGTTTTTCCTATAAAATACTATATTTTTTTTAAATGTACTATATTTTTTTACACCTTATTTTGGAAAATACTATATTTCGCTGATGAAATGTTGGCAACCCTAGCGCGAGGTCTCAAGTTTTCTCGTTGGTGGTGTGTGTGTTACAATAGTTTTGTTAATTTTACAGAAGTGAAGAAGAATTAAGCAAAGTTAGAAGTAAAGAACTTCCTAAAATTGATTCACACTTCGTTTCCAGAGTAGTAAAAATAGCATATTAAATAAAAGTGCATTTGTATAGGTAACGTTTATTATTATTTATTTAAAATATATCTTGAGTTCCACTTTCCGGTGGGCTCGGGAAGTACTTATTTTTCAAATAAATACTGCAAGGGTGACAGTTAGCCCGGTCGATGTTGAGTCTCATGCAGTCGAAGGAGCAAAACGAGACGAGTTTGCATGATACACACTGAATTTTCTCTTTGATAAAGGGAAGGGCGCACTCGAAGCAAATGTTAAACTTGTCCTCATCCTGAAAAAATGCAACAATAATGTTTTAAAATGATTTGAAATTATTTTAACTAAGTACTAAAATAAAGTTTGATCAAGTTGATATCCCTACATCTAGGTTATTCCTTAGGTTCGGTAAATACTTACTAAACATTTTTTATCATCTGTTCGACAATATTTAATGGTCTACTACAATAAAAAGAAGATGTTATGGTAACATTACTTACAGATCTAGAAGTTAGCTCCGGTTTTACATAAGGTCTCTTCCAAGTCATATCCACATCTGTGAGCTTGGTGGCTACCATACGTTCTTTCAGAAGATAGTTTATGTTACACTCTATCGACGACTTTTCTTCTGCTGTCGGATGAACAGAAGGCATTATCTTGTCCAACCTGTTGTAATACTGGATTATGTAGAGCAAATGCTTTAGAATCCGGTTGTCATTGTACATCTTCCTTTTGGTTAGCTTCAGGATATCCCAAATTTCAAGACATCGCTGAGTCGTCAGCCAGAGGCCTGCGCTCTTTTTACGTTTGTGTTCTCTAATGATTATGTTCCATTGCCGGTGTTTGTATCTGTATATGAATAAATTGTAGCTAATCTAATTTGAGAGCCAATGACCATTATAAAATAATAGAGTTCGTAAAATTGTCTTACTTATCGATAATCTCAACCAATTCTTTCATCAGTTTCGCTTGCAACCACCGCACATGCAGCAGCCTAGCGCATTCAGTCACCAAGTCGATAGCTTGCTTATAGTCACCAACATCATCCATACCTAGTTTTCCTAGAGACTTGGTTGACAATGTCTCTTTTTTGGGTTTTTCGGCCACTTTTTTGGCATCTTTATCTACAAAAGAAAATCATTATCATTCCGGCTTCTAGTTTCATCATCGTAGTAGCTAACTTAATATATTTTTTTAATTACTTGGTGATGCGACAGCTGGTTTGCTCTGGGAACTTTCCAATTCCCCGAGAGTCTTCATTGCAAACACAAATATGTTTGGATATATGTCGCTGCCATTCATACACTCTATCAGAGGGTCAGCTCCAAATAATAATAGATTTGTAAGCTGAAAAATGACTTGAACTGAATAAGAATGATTGAAAATAAAGACCGATTAAAGACCCAAAGAAAATAGAACATACTGTTTGTAATCGCTCTGATGGCACCACCGTTTTAAAAAACGGTAATGAGAACATTTTGACAAGGACCGTTTGATTCGAATCGTTTATAAGAGCATTCAGTTTTGTCGTCGGACTTCGAATAAATATGTCAAGGAGATCCATGCTCTTAGTCATCGCAATGTCAATAGGAGAACGTCCTTTGAATTTAAGAAGTGGGTTGCAGTAGTATTCAAGGAGATGTTCCAATATATTATGCCTTATCTGTAAGACATTCAGTTGATTACAAACATGCAATTACCAAATTGTTTAAATTGAAAGTAAAAGGCAATGAACCTCCTCTTCAGATTCCCCCTCCGTTTTTCTGGCCAGCACAGCGTGTAACAAGTTAGGACCACACGGTTCAGGTAGCACAGAATCCGTAGAGGAGAATTCTCCATAACGCAGTCTATGGAAAGTTGTAGCTCCGCATTCCAAAACAACTTTAATCATTTCCAGATTGTCGTATGTGAACTGACGAGATACTGCCAAATCCAAAGGAGTGTAGCCAAACGTCTGAAAATCAAGAGTTGTTTTAAATAAAAGCTAGGCTTAGCTAGGTTTCTAAAAAAACTTTTTAACTTACGTCTTTGTAAACTTCGTTAATGTCCGCTCCGTGATCGACCAAGTGCTTAACTAATTCTGGAGAACCTGCTATTATTGCCAAAAATAAGGCAGGTTTGGGACATCTAACCAAATTTGGATTAGCACCGTCCTCAAGTAGTTGAATAATAGTCAAACGAATATTAGCTATCCTGCGTCAGAGAAATGACAACAAATTACTGTCTGGGATACATTATGAAGAAAAGATTAAAATTTTATTTATCTAGGTACTAACATTTCAGATTTAAGTTTTTCAATGCTATCCACAGACGAAAATTCGTCTTTATCAGTACTCTGCCACATCATTTCTTTACTGGGTTTCATCGTATCCTTCAAAACTTTTGAGAGATTCTTTTTGGGATTTTTATCTGGTGGTTTTTTTGGATCTTCTTCACCAGCCTCAACTTCTTGAACCATATCGATGACTTCGAATAAATACGGAATAGGACTAATGCCACTTGGTCGTAAGAAAAGATCGTTTACTCTTGTCATAAATTCGTTATTAATGTTGGTGTATATTCGTTTTTCTTCAGAAAAAGATTCTTGTGNATCTTTTTCGCTGTTTGTGTTCTGTTGTGACGCATGTTCTAATATTACGGGCGGTTTTGATATCGTAGTGTCAGTTTTTTTTCTTACGTTCCCGAGGGTTTGGAGAGAATGGGATGACTTGACCTTTTTAGTAGCTGTTACTGCCTTAGACACTTTGCTTGGAGTTCTAGTTAACGTTCCTCCAACTCCACCAAAGATAACGGTTTGATCCCGAGAGAAATTCCATTCAAATACCTTCTGCTCCACAGGAGCTGTAGTAACAAACGAAATGCTTGAATTTTTATTGCAAATTAATTCTCATTGTAAATCTTTGAAATTTTTGTAACTTACGCGGTGCTGGTATGACAGGAGGCGGCAATAACGCTTGTACCATACCACTAAATGATATATCTTTCTGAGCACAAATAAATCGGATAAGTGCTACAGCTAGAGGCGTACAACATGAGTCATTGTAGCTGTTTACATTAGCACCAGCCTCTACTAAGAAATGAATCAATTCCGCGCGATCCCCGCACTTGAAAAGGTAAGAAAAGATCAGACAAATCATGAAATGGAAATTATAATGACCACTCATATATGTAGTTGGACTCACAGTAGCATACATAACGGCAGAGTTACCAAGACTATCAGCAATATCAGGGTGTATATTGCCCTGATTTACCAATTGCACAACATTTTTAGTATGTCCGAGGTAACTGGCCATCAACAAAGTCCTGGAAGATAAAAGTGATCACGAATACTGCAAGAATGATTTTTAAAGATTTAATATGTAATGATTAGGACCTGCAATCCAGTTCATGTTGTCCAGCTGGTTTGAACTGCTTTCGGGGACCACACAAGACTTCGGTCAAGTTGATTTCTGTTTCGTCTCTTTGATAGTCGTGTGTGTAACTGTGCTTCATCATGTGAATAGTCACTTGGTTGTTGTTCCAAGCAAAGTATGTTGTGAAATTCTGTTGACTTTCTACGCTGTCATGACTAACGTCCTGAAGAAATAGCACTTGTTTTATAAATTACCTAATTTCCTACGACAAGATCTTATTTAATTCAATCGTAACCTATACCAACTTCTTTGTATTCTGGTATACAAGATACTTCTTGCAGCATATTAATCCGTCCTTTGTAATATTCGTTTTCGAAGTACTCAACATGGCAGAGTATACTAGATAAGTCCGTGCAGTTTTGTGGATAAAGCTTATCCCACATGTCTGCAGCAACTCTAGGATCACTTCCATATTGTTTCAGAAGATCTAACGCGCTGTTAGTTTCGCCGATCTGACAAAGAAGTAGGTCTTAGCCTGATATGACATTCNTGACATTCTCCTTTTTAGTATATCGGACTACCTATAAATTACACGAACTGTTTGATTGGATTTAGACATTTTGAATTCTACTAACATTTCTGTAAGTAGTGATCATCATCACTCGGTGAGGATCTACACAAGCGCGACCAGCGGTGGTGGCGTACAAATCTGGTGCTATACTTGGAGTCTCCGGTCGCCACACCAGTCGAACGAGCTGCGTACCACGCCAAAGACCCACATCGACCTTTAAACATGCGTGAGATTCGACACCTGGTCCCCATCGCATGTTGCTATGAAATAAACCCTGTACGACAAAGCAATTTAATTTTCTAATTTTCTAAAAAGAATTTCAGGTTTTGATATGCATTAATATTCCTATACGTTTGTTTGATATGGACTTACGGTAAAGACTCGTCCATCTGGATACGACATGGTCCCATAACCGTGCATGCGGTTACAATGGAAGCGGCCTTCATACGTATGGTGTGCGCCCACGTCACCTCTGTGTCTCCATCTGTACTCACCAGGTCCGTGCATCACGTCCCTGGTTATGCAGCCACTGTACCACTCTAAAGACTAAGAGCAAATCACCATCATGAAACACTCATCAGCACAATCACATCAATGCCTTGGGGTCCCACTCCCATGCTAAATGGACATGCGTGATGAATTTGACTAAAGTGTAGGGAGTATCGAGTCTTTACGACAATTAGTCCAATGGGATAGTTTGATGATACAGAAATGAGTTCCTAACTTCTACATAGTAGGAAACTCTTGTTCCCCTACTGGACAAATAAGGAAGTTATTAAAATAACTACTAATATTAGTCCTACTTTAATATTATAAATGCGAAAGTTTGGATGTTTGGATGTTTGTTACTATTTCACGCAAAAACTACTGAACGGATTTTGTTGAAACTTTATACACTCGCGNAAACAGTTGATACATGTCCTTTTCCTTACTTCATCACATCAGCCGGGACATCTTTTTAAATACTGGTGTGATTTAAATGAATTTGGTATCAATTTAAAGTTAAAAGTTTAATCTTTAAAATGGTGCTACTTTTTTTGTTACTAACAAATTGGTTAGTACACAAGATCGCGTGGAAACAACTTGCATGTAAGTGATTCCATACTTTTGCTCGCAAGTGTAGTATTATTGTTTGTAACCCAGATTAACATAAAGGCCGATCTGTGACACTAAATTTCACGCGGGCGAAGCAGCGGGCTAAAGCTAGTATTTAATTAAAAAAAATACTTGTAACCTTCGCCCCAGTCCAATGAATGTTTCCATTGCCATTCTTCCTTTCCATTTCATCTTTGTCTCCACAATAGTATTCATCATAGGGCCAAATCTTATTAGCTTTCGTTCCTATTGACGGACAGACTGACTGAGGTTGCATCGTCGTAAAATTTGATGTACTAATTATTCAATAAATCTTCATATTAATAAATAAATTTAAATATTTACAAAACCAGCACCGTAAACTCAATCTATCAAAATCACAACGTCACTGCCAAGCTAAACTACTTACACAGAATAAAAATCGTTTAATAAAAGAGGTTAAAGTCAAAATAAGAAAAAATAAAAAGATTATTCGGTTGGTCTAAGTTTATTTTATTTCCACGAAATCGTATTAGAATCGTTGAAATGAGTAAAAAAATATAAAGTTCAGTTACTTAGTCGCGTGGGTTTGTAAAGTAGGTACTCCAAACGTTTTTTAAATGATTATTTTACTGATAGGTAGTTTTATAGAAAAAAATACACATTATTATAAGCAATTGCATCTCCAGCAGTTAGTCTTCGCTCTCTCGAAATAGGTATATTCCTGAAACAAAATGAAGTACTTAGTATTAAATTCGATTCAATGGGTAAAACACAAACTGGAATAAAATGGATGCAAGTGGCTGGGGACAAAGGTCGGCGGAAGGTTGAAGAGGAGGCTTATGTTCAAAGACGAACCTTAAAGGCTGCTATAGATAGATAGAGATAGGGTAAAGTAAATAAAGTTTAAATTAACATACCAGTAAGAAGGTGGTAGCCAAAAGCAGCGCTTTGTGTTTTGGCTGTACAGCAGTATCGGGAAAGTTTAGCGTGGTGGCAAAGCTGTTCAAATCTCGATCCCAGCCGTGGGATATCTTGCCCACTTCTCGGAGGGAATCCCCAGTCATAATCTGTGGAAATATAAAAACAAAACATTCTTAATCTTCGGTAATCCTTAGTTGTTGAAACCTAGTTTTTGTACTCGTATTTCGATTTGGTTCATGTACCTAGTAGGTACATTCTGGTACATATTACTGAGATTAACTATATTATCTTATGTATTGATCGAAAAACATTTAATTTATGAATGGGAAAGTTACGAAAATTGAGGATAAATTCAGACCTTAAACTCCGACAGCAGCAAAGCACTCCTCTTCATGACCGCGGGGCCCTCGACCACGAACAAGACGTCGTCGTTGGCGTCCCTCACCAGGTAGAACGGAACCATCCAGGTCCATCGCTGATGCACCCGCCCTATGTAGTCTCCGGGCGGTGTGATCACTTTCATCTCCTGTGTAAAGGATTAGGGTATTATAACGAAGATATACTTAGTTAACGTGCTTCTGACTGCATCATTTAATTATAAATACATACTTTAGCTACTTAGGCTGAGTTGCATCACCTTAACTTTAACCGTAACTATAACTTTCACCGGTGTTTTTTGTTTGAAGTTTTCAAACAAAAACACAACTTTTGACATTTGTTTAGCTAAAATAAGATGGTACATACAACCCAGGCTCAATGTAATATAATAAATAATTATAGTAAATAATAGGCCCCAAAAGCCACTTATAAAGCTGGTCAAGCCGCATGCCTCGTTGTAGTATTTATATTTTTGCATGCCATACTCTGGCGAAATGTGTGATACTACTCAAATCTACTTTACCATCACTTACATGTACCACTTTCAAGCGAAATAAATGATTTGATTTGATTTGATTTGATTTAGTTCTAGAATGTAGAGTACTTACTAGTTTCATTAAAAAGTCTACTATAAGCATATTCAGCACCTTCTTTAGATCGCCAATGCATAAAACAGAGGTCGCCCCAGAATAGATTTCATGATCTTGACTCGAGAGTCGAGAACCCTTCAACTCCATCATTCAACATTCATTCATAACTAGCTTTCCGCCCGCGGCTTCGCCCGCGTGGAATTTTGTCTGTCACAGAAAAACTTTTGGCGCGCGTCCCTGTTTCAAAAACCGGGATAAAAACTATCCTATGTTCTTTCCCGGGACTCAAACTATCTCTATGCCAAATTTCATCAAAATCAGTTGCGAGGTTTAAGCGGGAAAGCGTAACAGACAGACAGACAGAGTTACTTTCGCATTTATAATATTAGTTGGGATAGTTGGGATTTTAGCTTTGTATCATTTTACCTGAAGTCTACAAGGGAAGCAGCAAGAGGCAGCTGCCAGCCGTCTCTTCAGCACCATGGCCTCCTGCCTTGTGTTGTCGTGGAGGTGCATGACGAAGGAGCGCCCCGTGCCGCAGAGGCACCTCTCAGTTTTCCAGGAGACTTCACTGGCTATGTATAGGGCTTCACCATGGGGCACTCGCACGATGTACCGATTTTCTGATTCGATTTTCGATGTCACTGTCAAAAAGCAGCAAGATTACTTGGTCATGCAAACCAGGACGATTCAGAACCATTTATGGAGGTGATTATTGTTGATTATAGTGTGTTGGTTGACCGTTCATTATGGAAAACCTTGGGGGAGGCCTTTGTCCAGCAGTGGACGTCATTTGGCTGAAACGACGGCGACGATAGTTCGTTGAAAGATCAAAATTAGTACTAACGGTCATCAAGTTCGATAGTCTGTTGGACGAGGAGGCGGGAGACTCCGATGAGGAAGTCCAGGCCGTGCGTCGGGATGAACTGGCCCCGAGGGTTGGAGTGCCAGTCCACTGTAGTGACGGGGAGCTCCGCGCGGGTGCCTGAAATGTAATCATGGTGGTATTTTAACATTATTAAGGACGAAGCACACTTATCAACTTAGAAACGGATCGACTCGAGGCGGTCAGTATTCTTTGTATGAAACTCTGTATGCAATGCACACTTATCCGCACCGTAACGTAAACGCCTCACCTCGCGGCGAAAGCCGATACGGTGTTGATCCCTTTCCGGGTTGGTAAGTGTGCTTTAACCTTAATAGATTTTCCCAAATTATACCAATATCTAGCTAGGTTGACCCATGCATGGACTACTGAAATTGGTGTAAAAATCAAACCACTCACCATGGACTTGTGGTTGGACGCTGATGACTAGATCCGGTCTTACGTTAGTTCCATCATCTGTAAAACAAAGTTTTCTGGTTGTCGAAGTTATATTAAACGTTATCTAACTTTATAAGCCTTGTTGAATAAGTTGTAAGTAATAGTAGCTCGTTCTTCCTCCTCCTTTCAAAGTTGCTATACGCTTACTGGGCCATAATATTGTGTAACTTTCTTTCTTTTCACTTATCTAGCATCCTCTAAACCAGTGGTTCTTAACCTTTAAGTCATGAGGGACCATTTTACCAAATTTCTGTCTTGTCAGGGACCACCTCATAATCGGTCAAAACCAGTTTATCTACAAAAATCAGTTAAAAGTGGTTTTGACCAAGGTGTGCAAATGCACTTCGTGGACCACTTGGAATGCTTCCAGGGACCACCAGTGGTCCGCGGACCACCGGTTAAGAACCACTGCTCTAAACTCTAATAGCATTCTATAAAAGATATTTTATTTTGTATTTTAAAGGTGTCACCGTAAAGTTCGGCCACAAAAGAGCCAGTGGTGTGTATAATTTGGTTGCTATATGATTAAACTTCATTTCAATATTAGTTCAACTGTTTTTGCGGGCATTAATAAAATTACCTACAGTACCTACTTCTATTATTAGGTAGTCTACAGTAGATAAATATCGAACAATGGATAAAATAATTACACCTTATGACGACCAGTGATGCAAACAACATGTTATTGCTATAATCTGTCGATTGTGTAGTGACTGTTCATATAATTATTTATCAACATAAACATTTTCAGGTGGAGCACACTTACCGTTCGTTGCAGTTGGGTTCTCAAAGCCTTTGTTCTCTGGGCTATTGACTCTATTTGCAGTAGTTTCCATTACTTTAAGTAAGTACAACTCACGCACTTTTATATTTTTCTTTGCAAATAATATTTGTATAGATGTTCTTTGTTGACGATATGTTACGACACTGCATTATCGATGTCCGCTNAAAAATAGTCTTTGAATCTCAGTTAAATTACTCCAAAACTATTAAATTTCGGATTTTTTAAATATCACGTGAGATTAGGGGGTGGGGGAGGGGGTCAGGCAAAATCTCACCAAATCTCACCAAGGGGGGTGGGGGGGTTGAAAAATAGCCAAAATTGTCTCACGTAATTTATGGACGCCCCCTCATATTTTAGGCACAAATAACAATTCATAGATTAATCTAAACCACAACTCTTAACATGTGTACACAGTATGAATTGAAAATTATGAAATTTGATAACTTTTTTTCTTATTAGAATCTTCTAATAGAAATATTTTATTTTGTATTTTAAAGGTCTCACGGTAAAGTTCGGCCACAAAAAGCCCAGTGGTGTCTATAATTTGATTGCTATTTTATTAAACTTCATGTCAATATTAGTTCAACTGTTATTGCGGGCATTAATAAAATTACCTACAGTACCTACTTCTATTACTAGGTAGTCTACAGTAGATAAATATCGAACAATGGATAAAATAATTACACCTTATGACGACAGTGATGCAAACAACATGTTATTGCTATAATCTGTCGATTGTGTAGTGACTGTTCATATAATTATTTATCAACATAAACATTTTCAGGTGGAGCACACTTACCGTTCGTTGCAGTTGGGTTGTCAAGGCCTTTGTTCTCTGGGCTATTGACTCTATTTGCAGTAGTTTCCATTACTTTAAGTACAACTCACGCACTTTTATATTATTCTTTGCAAATATTATTTGTATAGATGTTCTTTGTTGACGATATGTTACGACACTGCATTATCGATGTCCGCTNTTTAAATGTTGTGATAGGAATAGAGACATGCGATTTTTGTTTTTACAAAGGTAATACGATAGAGAATAATGCAAAGTAATAAAAACCACCTGTTATAGGGGCTTTTTTTGGAGAAATTTATCAAATAACCAAAAATACACGAATTTAAAAGCAGATTTTTTTCAAAAAGTATCATTTTTTATTATTTGTTGGCATTTTCTGAGTATTTTATGTATTTTTTTAGTATAGTCTGTTATTTAGCATTATTACTGTTTTTACAGGATATGCCTCTTAGTTTAAGAGTTATTACGTTTTCTTAATACAGTAAAACAATAGGTAAGTAATTGGAAGAAAAAATAATACTTAATTTTTTTTTTAAAATCTCAAAAAAAATTTGACCTGTTTTTTGTCGATAAAAATAGATCTAGTTTCACCTAATTTCATATGTGCACTTTATCGTAACTCACACTGTATTAAATACAGAATCGGATCTAATCAAGGATTACGAGAACAGCAGCTTTAACGATCGAGTCATTAACAGCTTAGCTGAAAGTTCTCCTGTTTTAAAAAAAATGTTGATTGGCTAGCTTTATATTATTATTTGTTATTAGTAAATACTTACTTATTATTTTACTTTATTTTAGTATTGTAATATTTTTTTACAGTTTGTTTATCTCAATTTGTGTATCTCAGTATTTTTCGATAGTATCCCATCACCATGATCTAGTCTCGGGCCTCGGGATTGCTATCAGCCACCCGGGCCCTTCCGGCCCAGTCCGACCCTGGTACACGTTGTTAATTGTAAGCCGATTACAACAATCGGTAACGATGATTTTACGAGGACAGTATATTACGAACACGGTAAAGTGAATAAATTATTAATGGGTTCAGAATTGTAATTAACAACACAAGTAACAAATAATTAATTAGAATAAAGTAGCAGTAGAAGAAGTATAAAGTAGGATTGTTTTTAATACATATCCTGCGATGTACTATTAAGAGTAATGTATGTGGTGCACTCATACCGATCCCAAGGAACCGTATTTACTCATAACATTATGATGACACACACAGATCCGTGTATTCATACACCAGACAAGTNTACAACTCACGCACTTTTATATTTTTCTTTGCAAATAATATTTGTATAGATGTTCTTTGTTGACGATATGTTACGACACTGCATTATCGATGTCCGCTCGCCGGCTTATCTAGTTATCAATGAGATAAATCTCAACGATTATTATTTGGTACACGTCGGTTTTATACACTACATCGTGTTTTTAATTAGAATCACTAAACACTGTATCGTGATCGATAATTTTTAGGGGTGTTTTCGTTTATTTTTTCAAAAAAATTGTATTGAATATCAAACGAAATTAAGTATACCTCATAGATTTTAGATTAGTAAGTTATAGAATCAGCTCTACCATACGAGGTAATTTATGATGACTAAGTACCAGAAACAAAATTGGTAATTTTATAACGCTGTTTAGATAAAGGAAAGTCAGGGTAAATAAAACAAAATCTATTGAAAACCATTTATATTCGTGTGTTAAGTACTTGAACATTTTACGAATAAAGTGATAACATTCAAGTTGTTTAAAATGACCGGCAATACCACCGTATAGCGTTATTAATAAATTACATCCATTAAGTCCTACCTACCTACAATCTTTGAGATATTTGTGTAACAATTAGGGTAAATGTCGATATACTCGTACAGTGGACTGGTTCGGGAGTAGGGCTTGAATACCGGAATTCCGGAATTTCGTAACTCCGGAATTTCGGATACATTTTTTCCGATATTTCAATTCCGGAACTGAAGCCAATATCGTATTCCGATATTGAAATTTTTCAAAAATTATTTTAAGTTTTCAAAACGTTTAAGTATCAAAATTGGTTCTTAAATAAGGAAGTCCTTGAGATTATGTATTCACAACTTTATTAGTAATAATATTAAAGAGGCAATAGGACGAAATCAAAGCTCCAAAATGTTCGCTAGAGACAACTCTAATGGGCGAAGCCAGCTGAAGAGAGCGGATGATAGTGTAAAACCTGTTAATAGCTCAGCCACAGGACAGTTCCAACAGCTAAGCTAACTCGATACTATACCGAAAATTAGCCGGACATCAGCCCTTACGTAATAGGATGGCTCTCAAACAGCTAAAGAACAACAAGGCACCGGGTGATGACGGAATAACCTCGGAGCTTCTGAACGCGGCAGGTGATAAGCCGATACTGAAAGTCCTTCATAGACTGTAACTCCGTCTTACTCCAGGGAATAATGCCAGAGGCACGGAACAAATGCTTGGTGGTGTTTTTCTTTAAGAAAGGGGTAAAAGCCTTATTAAGGAATTACAGACCCATTTGGGTTCTGACTCTGAGTCATTTGTACAAGCTGTTTTTGAGAGCCATCACGAATAGTCTCGCGCGTAGGTTCGATGACTTATAGTCTCTCGAGGAAGTCAGTTATCGAAACGTTTACACTTCCATATACCGCATCTATACGCTACGGCAGGTTATACAGAAGACCGAAGAGTCTAACTTTCCTATATGCTTGGCGTTCTTAGACTATGAGAAGGTCTTTGAGCCTGGCTGAGCACGAGGGCGATTCCTCTGCGATTGCTCTGCAGCGAGCTGTGAGGCAGGGAGATGTAATAATACGTCGAATTCAACTCGGCTGGGCAGCGTTCGGGAAACTACATAACATCTTTTCGACCAAAACACTTCAGTGCCTAAAGACGAAAGTCTACAATCAGTGTGTGTTACCAGTAGTGATGACACACGGTTCGGAAATGTGGCCTCTTACTATAAGGCCTTATAATAAGCTCAACTCAAAGTTGCACACCATGGTATGGAGGAGAGTGCTATGCTCGGTGTTTCTTTTCGAGATCGAAACAGAAATGAGGAGATTCGTAAACGAACTAAAGTTGCCTGACATATAGCGATCGGATTACCAAGCTACCAAGGCAATGGGCAGGGCACATAGTACATAGAACAGACGGCCGATGGGGCAAGGTTCTAAAGTGGAGGCCACATTACGTGTGTACGTGTTTGTCGGGAGGCGCTTTCTTTTTTTTAACCAACTCCGGAACTAGAACCGGAATTCCGGAGTTGAGTGCCCAATATCGGAAATCAGTTCCGGAGTTGAAAACTATCCGATATTGCAAGCCCTATTCGGGAGGGTGGACGAGCGAGCGTGCCAAACTGGGAGTAGAGTCCGGAAGACATAGTGGCGTCACCGCCCAAGGTACACGAGTCGAGACCCAACAAGAAAGGGTCAGGTGTAAACAAAAATATTAATTTATTGTCCTAGTAAAGTCTAAAAGTGCAGCACTAGTGCTAAGTCGCTTTGTATCAATAAAAAGGCATGACTTTGTGTGGACCGACAACCATCTTCAGAAACAGATCAGACAAAGCACGCGATTCTCCTCCTGCTTCACATCACCACCGCCATTCATTACAAATTTAGTATCTATCGTAATTAAAAGAATAAGAAAATATAGACATTGATTATCTAGTACGTAAATGAGTACAATTTTATTAAGATAACATTTAAATTTTGAATTTATACTTCGCCTCCACATTAAAAACTCCCATTTATAATATCCATGTAGGTATTAAATTTGAAATTACATTTAGTAAGTAGGTACACAATTAATATATGGTAATTCCAATCCTTACACCAATAGGTACACTTAAATACATAAATACTTAACAACGATAAAATTACCATCTCCAATACATTGTTAAACAGCACAATTCATTTGAAAATCCTCAACATCTAGTCCCGTTTCGAGCCCTAAAATACCGAATAGATGAACTATCAGAAAAACCGCAAAAATATATCTAGCAAAATGTTCGTACAACGTTCTATACAATAATATTCAAATGACATTTAACAATGAAAGCGTAGCAGTAGATATAGCGCTAAAAACACGCCAGCGATATAATAACTATGTATTTGATACCAACATTGTGATGCCTGCCTGTATATTCATACGCGTCTATGGCTGGTTAGACTCGTACGAATATGACGACGTTCCTAGACTAATATGGTGATGAGATCCATTGAGACGTGAACAGCTATTTTGAATGAGGAACGAAAAAGTTCCATCTTCGATTGCCAACGCCCGTGTTAGAACGTGATCCTCAGAGCAAGATTCCTTCATGCGAATGTGTCATACTGGTAAGATTTCGGAGAATTTGAATGTTTCGAATTTTGCAAAAGAAAGATGTGTAACCAATGAGGAAACTCAAACAAGAAGTTTTCTTTTAAATGTCAAAAAGGTTCAAATGATCCCAGAGACCGTACCAGCAAATCCACATCGGGATAGAGCCCTTTGCGTTAGTTTGGGTTCGTTCCGGTGAAAGTTGTAGTGGTTTATCGTTGAAGGGCGCGTTGCCAGCCGAGGTTCAGTTTGAGGGTAGCGGGCAGGCAGGGACTGGCCTCACATTCTCCATCTAACTCGTCTGCCAGGTGGTCGTGGAGCTCCCTCAAGGCCATCAGGGCTGAGCGGGCGGCTCGTTGGCAACTCATATCTCCATCGCAAGAAGTGTCAGCTTCAGATAAGAATACCAAGTCGCATGTCGTCGGTGGAGCCTCGCCCTGTAAAGTTTATAATTAAAATATAAGTTAAAATTTTACTGTAAACTTTTGGTTATAGAATAGTGAGTAAGTTACGTACACAAAGGTAGCAGATTTGATGCAAGCTGCAGAGGGGTAAGAACAGCTGCCCGCGGTCCCCAGCCAGTAGATCAACTCCACGGCATCGTTGTATAATTTTAGCGAGTACAGGGCAAGAACCAGTAGCACCAACTGAAATCAAAATTATACCGTTAATTTTTTATTTCCATTTAGTTAGAATCACTACAATTAAATAGCATTAATATGGAAATGTTGTTCATTTAGGTACCTGTTGATAATACAGGAGAACGATGTCTTCCACTGCCACCCATGTATCCTTCAGAGAACTGCTCCTCGATCTTACCATTGAGATAATGTCCCGCTCCCTGTTCATCCTCAAAATCATCATTCCTATCATTGTTGAATACGGGGATGTCATTGTTATTGATTTCCACTTTTTCTTTCTTCACGGCTACTCGCTTAGCTTTTGCTTCATCCGTCGGCATGGGTGAAGGTGACATTTGAGTTTCTGATTTTTGAGTTTGAAGACTCTGCTTGAACTCTTTCAAAGCTTTCCTCATCTTTTCCAAACTGTAGGCTGCAGCCAATCGGGAAAGTAGCTGTTCTTTCATTTCTTGTTCTTCTTTGGAATCTAATTCTTCGCCCACGTTAGAGTAATGTAGTGCTTCATCTACAATCAAACCCTCCATTGTCTTCAACTTCCTATCAATATTGTCCAATTTGGCATCATTGTCTGTAGCTGTGTTTCGTTTCTCATCGTTTTGATGTGACATTGGTAGTGTTTTAGCAATTTGAGATTCACTTTCGCCGTTTGGGTTAGCTTGAACATAATTCCGTTTGACGTTGCTGTGTTTACGGAAGCCATTCAAAGGATATATTACTTCCTTGTTAAAAGTGTCAAAATATTGTTTGTTGAGTCTATCCTTTGTAAGATCGTTAACAAATGACACTGCTGGGTTTTTAGAACGTTTATCAATACCAAAATAATCGGACCAGTCGATGGACTTTTTCTTAATATTTATGGGTCGTTCACTTTCTCCGTGCTCATGTTCATGTTCATGATCATGATCAATGTCTTTTTCTTTGCCGATCATACCTGGGTGGTGAACGTTGTGACCATGGTGCTCGTGACTATCATCGTCAGTTATTGAAGTATTGTTTTCATGAGTAAGATTCTTATGCGATAAGACGGCTACTTTTGGTGGCTTTGTTTCGTGGGGACTTTCTTCGTGATCACTGCTCCGTTTGACTGGAGTTTTAATGATTTCAATATCAGCTCCACCAAATATTTTTGATAAATCCTTTATGATTCTTGGATCAGTACCGGAACTGCTTCTGAAAGTTTTAGTTGTTTGATGTTTATTTTGATCCAATGCAAACCTTTTCTTTTGCATTCCAAAGTTATACGGTCCACTGCTACGTTTGGAGACTGGGAATCTCTTTTCAACATTATCGTATGAATATTGATCATCGTCACCAATCTCAGAAAAATTTTCATCATCTAGAGGTTGAAAAGCGATTGCATACTCTTCACGAAGATCATCCTTATCATCATCGTTGACTTCATAAGCGTTGTAGGTAGGATCATTCAGTATGTCACCATGTTTTCGTCCGGAATCGTAGTCAGGTGAGGCAGGTCGTTCAATGTCAGGGTCTGAACTACGCTTCCTCTTAAAGGCAATCGGTCCCCAATTTTCTGGGTACCGCTTCTTGACAATTTTCTCTTTATACAGCTTAACCACTCCTTGTGGGGCAGATTCCTGAACGCTGTTAGCGTGAGCCTTGTTGTATTTGTATTTGGACCAAAGCTGTCCTAAGAGCAAAGCGTATTCAGCATCATTCTCAGCTCGGTTTTGAAGTTCCTTTTTTTCTTCGGCCTCGTTTTTGTCCATAAACAGGTCTCGTAAGCGTTCATTGTCCGAGTGATGGGTCCTTTCACGGAATGCAGATTCTTTTTTGGGAGCAGAATTTTCGCTGTCGTGCAAGTTTTTCTTCTTGATAACTTTGTATTCGTATGCTTCAGGCGCCCGTTCGTCGTAGTCGAGAAGCTTTATGATATACTTGGCATTCGGTTCGTCTTCAACATCTTCAACCTCAACCGGGTAGTCTATATCTGAAAACAAAAATTTTTAAATTTTATGTATTTGACATAGTTAAGAATTTCTGTATTAAATTAACGACATGACATCACATTATGCATAATATTCGATAACAGATAAAACAGTCACGTGTGGACGAGACCGTAATAAAGTGTCACTCCAGGTGAAGTGGGTCAGCGCTTGCGATTAAATCATGCATGCAATAATAAACACAATTTTACACCTGCCCTTGTCCCAGTGTTTTATTTTTATAGACTTCAAAATGTCTAACCCTTTGATATGGGCCGGATCAACTATAAAATCTGTCTTTTTGTCAGAATTTCAACGAATAGTTAAATATGTAGGTATTACCATATTCCTTTATGGCATTAAGAATCGTTCCAAATGTCAATATGGGAATGGGACTCCAAACGCCATCAAACATAAAAGCACTGCTAAGTTAAAGTCACCTAAGGAGTTTAGGGCAAAAAAGCTTATAGACGGACCCCAACCAAGTATATCTAACACTCGTATTCACAAACGATGCTTGCTTAAGTGAAATAGCAACGCTATGCGAAGTCGAACGCTTGAATAGAGCTCTATGATTGGTTCGTGTGTGTAACTCCGCCACTCAAGTATTGTCTATATGAATAGGTTTTTGGGGCCTTTTGCGTCTTCACAGTAATGTTTGTGAATACGGGTAAATCTGTCGACCTAATGTTAAACTATTCAAGCCTAAAGCGTACCTGGATATCCTTGCGGTGGCACAAACTCATACAGCTGGTCGTAATCCGGCTGCGGCGCTAGAGGTCCATGCATGCGGCCGCGCTGCCTGCGCTGCAGCGCTTCAAGCGCCCCACGCAGCGACGACCCGCCGCGGTCGGCGCTCGCGCACGCCAGGCACGCGGCTACAAGCAGCCACGTCACACTCATTGTTGACGCTGAAAATGGGAGGAACTGACTGTAAAGACCACTTAGGCTGGTTTGCACTATTTTACTTTAGCTATGGCAAAGTCAAAAATCTGTCAAACTCCATACAAAAAACACCGGATATCGTTATAGCACAGAATAAATAATAAGTACTACGTACACAGTAGTTTTACTTCGCGAAGGTATTTAAAAAAAAATATGCTCAATGTCATTAACAATATGGTGTAATTTAGCCTGTCTCAAGAGTCAAGGACCATTTTGTTGACAAACGTCAGTGATCGGCACTGCGCCGAAGCTATAGGGCTGACTTCGGTAAAATGATATGCCGTGAGGTGCCAAACCAGTGGCGGCGTAGCATGGGTTGGCACCCGGGGCGGTCACCCCCCTCCCCCCCGTCATAAGTTCTAAGGCACCCCCTGGTACCCCCCAGGATTTTGGGGTTACCTACCAATTCAAAGATTGAAAGACAATCGCACCCCCCCCCCCATATCCATGGACATAGACCGCAGATTTGCCATACAGATGCGCCAGTGAGTACTAATCTGCGCGACTTGTGTCACCCCCTGATGCTTGGCACCCGGGGCGGACCATATTAACTACTTATTTACCTCTGTGTCTTGAGGCAACGTAAAAAAAAACATTCTGTGTTTTTATTATTATTTAGGCAGTTAAATACTGCACAGTATTTATTTAGTACACCATTTTCTTTATTTTCTTCCATCATACACAAGAATACGCATGCGTGAGTCAATGTTCGCTCATGTGAGGCCTTGTCGAATAGTATCCTGTAGGTGGGCCATCGTGCGTGTTTTGTTTTCGATGTAAACTCGCGGAGATGAACAGGCCTGGTTATAGTTACGGTCAAAGTTAGGTTGGTGCAACTCGGCCTTAAACTATTATCGCAATAGAATGTGAAAAGATATCATAGACTACGACAAAATAATTTTCAATGAGCCTCAATGAGCTTTTATAAAGTTTGACTTTTTTGAAATGCCTATCATAAAATAGGCTGTTAGGTTAGGCTATTTACTTAAAGTACATTTTATTACAATAAAAAGGTTTTTAGTTATGTTTCTGTTACGTACATTCTATTTACTTTAATTTAATATCCCATTTCGTGGAACAAATAAACATGTAGGAACCGAGAAAAAACTGAGCTTCAAATTCAGATTCCCACCGGAAAGTTGTGAGACGGATTGCCTTTTTCGTTACGATATATCCCGTATTCATTTTCCCGCGCCCCAAAACACATTAGGCTATAAGTAAATTTCCACCGAAGTGAAAATCGAGTTAACTATGTCTCGCGCTCGCTGCACTAACCTGATTTCAGAGGTCCTATTAGCAAAACGATTTAGACGCATCTGGCTCTATCTATCTCTCTCACTTCCACGTTATCTGGTAGACTTGAAAGAGAAGGAAGACAGCGAATCGAGCTCGTAATTTGAGGTAGACCTCCAGATGGGAAAACCGTGTTACAGTTTATCAACGTTTAGCTGGACGACATCATTTTGATTAGAGTTACGGAACCATTTTGGTTGCGTCCGATTGATGCCTCACTAATAGAGCTTAATGACGTAAATACGACTAGCCAGGAAAGCCTCATCGACGATTTTAGTGATTTGAATTTAAATACGGGCACCCCTACTTACAATTAATATGTTAAACTCACAAATTGTGTGAAATAAAATGTTGCAACGATTCATGACATACTCTACTCTATTATAGAGCAGTAACAAACTAAAGTACAAAAGCTTCTTCTAAAGCTTCTTGTCAAGATGGAGGGTAACTTTCCTACATACAATGTATGAAACACTTAGTAAGGTTTTATTTGTAGTACCAAGTTTATTAGGTTCTTAACATGTCCAGTGTTAGAAGGGCATTAAAGAACAGCCTTGTAATTAACGACAAACGTTTCAGCGTTTCAGCACAATATCGCAAGTAACACGGCACGTCAATGTATATGAAAAAGGTGACGTAGCAGAATGTATTGCGAAGTTGCACGGCATCGCTTGACATTATTGCCTATTCGCGGAATTTTTGGGTACCCCTAGTGGATACGACATTTTACTCCAAAGCTCTATTTCATATAGAAAAGTTTTGTTTCATATAGAAAATCAAAATGGATCTTTCAAAAATGCCGGAAAATCGCAAACATCGGAAATACAGCGTCCGTCTTCAAAGGAAATAGTCCCCATTCATCTGAAAATTGTAATTTACGTTTGTATCTGACCAGAAAATACGGGATTTTGGAGGACATAAATCTCCGTCTATTCATCGTGAACAGTACGAAATGTAAATTAAATAATGTTAGAAAATGCCTTACAAACCTAAAAAAGGGATTTATGAAATTAATTCACTTTATTCAGTTCAGTGGGTATATTTTAACACGAAATCTAATCATGACAAAACGATGCGTTACACTAAGCGAACTTGTCGTGATTTAATTTAAAAGTCTACACACCAAGCCCGTCGACAGCTCAGCGGTTTGGTGTCAGCGGCTTTATTTCAAAAGACTTTTTTTTTGGGATGGTCTGTCCTTTTAAAAGATTATGTCGATGACTTGTACTTTCTATGACTTGAGAACATTTCTAAAGACGACGACTTATGTCAAAGGTTTAGTGTGTAGACGGCGTCATAAAGTCAAAAGTCTGCAATATAAAAGTAAAATAAAACTATAAGTATTCAAAGATTTATGTTATTAACCCATCCCTTTGTTTGCGGTAACCCTCGATGCCGATAGTAAAGCTTTTGCGGCACCAAAATGAGCTTTTTATCGGCTGAAGTGACCTTAAGTGACTTTCCAAATATTTTCTTAAACATAATCGATGTTAGCTGTTTGTATCAACTATTTACTGTTTTGGTTATTTATAAATTAAGTCCATGGCTTCACTCTTTAGAATTATTATTTTGGTACCTACCTCTTTATGTGTACCTACCTACATACCTGTAAATAGGAAGGCATCCTGTGTCTCCCTCAAACAAAGTATAAAAATGAATTTTCATATAGCTAACATGACAATTGATGGGTTTCCCAATAAAAATACAAATATTCATCTCCATATTTCACCCTCTTCAATATTTATTTTAGGTACCGACAAAAAATCTGACACAAACATTCGTTTCAGCTTCAAATTGATTCAGCGGATTTGGCGATTAACGTTACATAAAGAGAAACGAAAATTTAATCAAGTATACTTAATTTTGTATTTTTAGTTACTGTCCCCGATTCTAACAGAAGATACCTAGGTACTGTGGATCAAAAGGTACTACTTACCTACCTCATATTTGCGCCTAATAATTCATCAAAGCAACCAGATTTTCTCGGCGTCCATTAAAATTAATCACTTTCAAAATTATGAATCCCTACTTGACTTTTGAGCTGCTTTCGTATCTAATTATTTTAATGACTTTGTATTCCCAAAGCTTTAGGTTTAATTTATTCTCTTTGACATTACACAACACATAATTAATTAACATTTTGCGAGATCCTGACAATGAATACGACATAAGTAATGAAGGCAAATGATTTTATTCAGGTACTAGCTTTCCACCCGCGGCTTCGCCTGCGTGAAAAAGGGCTGTTTTTAGGGGTTTCCTGGAAATTATTCGATTTTTTTCTCGCCGTTAAAACCATCCTTAGACTTCAACGAACATTAAAAAAAATTGGTAAAATTAGTTCAGGCGTTGTTGAGTTATGCACTTACTAACACATTTTGCGATTATAGATAACGGCACACACACATGCTCATTACTATCACGAAAGCATGCCACTATTGAGCAATTGCTTTTAGTGGCAGGAGTGTCGAAACATTGCCATAAGCATGCTTATTATTGAGTGACATGAGTTGTTCGAGCACGCTTGTTTTGAGCACGCTAATAAGCATGTCATTTTATGAGCATGTGTAAATTTTATTTCAGCGGAAACTATCTTTATCTGTATAGTAAGGATGAAGCTACTATCGTATTATCGGAGCTACTCTAGATTATGAGCGGACCATAAAATCGTTTAACGCGAAATCCCAAGGAGCCTACCCGCAATACAGGGTCTTTTGGACTTCGTACTATATGCCTAAAATAATGTACACGCGTATGATAGAATGCGACTTGCTTTAATATTAATAATATTTTCGTCTATTAAGATTAAGTTTTTGGTTTTTTGTATGACTCTAACTTACTCCAAGAATTTTGAGCACTAACTGGAATTAAGTTAAAACTAGTTAGGTAATTAAAAACAAAAAGTTAAACTTTGTCAAAACGAAAAAAACAGATTGACGTTTCAAAGTTGTCTACACAAAAGATAGTCCGTTCTCCGGGAAATGTAAGCCTATTGAAATATTCAAACTGTTCCCCATGCCTATTCAAAAGTTCCGGTTTACCCTGAAAAGGGATAGATATTGATATATTAATTAATATTTGATAAACCATCATAAACCGAACCCTTTAGAAATTTCCTCCCGTTGTTTCAAATAAAATCATTGTTATTCGCTACTCCAAGTAGGTACTAATAAAACGTGTAATAAACCACACCCATGAAAGAAATGCTCCTGAAATGAGGTTGTAAAAGACGATGGCGCCTTAATATCGGCTTAATAAAGAGCCAGGACGTGAGACAACGCCGTAATTGTAACAAACTGTATAAAACTCCCCTTTCGGGCTGAAAGAAAAAGTCTTGTTGCTTTAGAGCCCATCTCGTAACTCTTAAAAAGCAATCTACGAAAAATGTAGAGCTACTTAATTTTTATTCCGTAAGTTACTGCAATGACTGCCTGTGAATAATACTCTGTTCATTTTTATTATTTGAGAGCTTTTTTAACATTGAAGAAGCTTTTGAAGAAGCGAATTTTCGGACAGTTCATGTTTATTCCGTAACCTATTATTGGTACCGTTTGAAAGAGCTCGTGAAGCACTTTCAGGATCAGTAACTAGTTTTTGGATATCTTGTATATGTATAGTTTAGAAATAATCGAGTGAGATCACTTATCGTTTCCACCCTGTATAAGGCTGGGTTGGACCATTTTACTTTGACTTTAATAAACATCAAAAATCTGTTAAACGCCCTACAATATACACCGGTTATCTACATATAACGATAACCGGTTACGGTTAAGCTTAGGTGGTGCAACTCAGCCTAAGTACTAAACAGATGTAAGTAAATACCTACTGTAGTCTCGCCACATCTACCTACAAATATTAAAAATATCTATGACACTGTTTAGCTAATGAATAGTTGCTTTATTAATGTCTGTTAAAATATTGACTTCACTGTGAGAGGAGTGAGGAGTGAGGACAAAAGAGTGTTTCGATTCCTAAAACGAGTGTTCTGATTAATTCCAAGTGAAGTCATGGTTTGAGTGTGAATATTTAAACTTTTAAGTTTGTAGTTTAGTATCATCACTTTTGCGTCTGTTTAGCAACAATTATTGTTTAGCCTGCAATCTCAACTTAGCAGTTGAGATTGCAGGCTAGAATCAATATGATTATACAAAAAATATTAAGTGCTTTGTAGAGGACATCAAGTCATGATAAGTATAAGGAGAAGTTAGTTTACTATACCTACTTGTAAGTAAATTTCAAAAGTAAGTAAGTTAAACACCCGTTGAACACCTCTTGAAATGTCATGTAATTTTTTCATTTTTTTTTAAATAATTAGTAAGGAATTTTAATGTAATGTGTTGTCCATCTGGTAATCACTCACTTCCATCAGTTAAATTAATCTCATATCTCTTCTTTGGAGAAGATTAGATTCTTTATTGGTAGAGATAGAAGTAAATCCGGTCCTCAGCTAATAGAAACGAATTGAGTTAACTAATTGCCGCTTTGAATCAAGATGTTTAAGTTCGTTTCTCTCATTTCGTTAAATTCATTTTCCTAAAGAAACAAGCTTCTAATCCAATTTATACTTAAATCCAACCGTCAGAATCGTCTGGTCAGCTGTTCATTTCCCATTAAAGCACAACCTAATTAACTTTAATGGAGTAATTACCTCGCTTTACGGCAAACCAGGGCTGAAAGCAGTTTAGGTTCTGATTTTTCTATCAGAAACGTTTCTAAGAACGTTACAATTAATCTGAATACATATAAGCCTACGAAATCCAAATAAGGAAACCTCTTAGCCCTTTAATCAAGTTACAAACAAACACAAGCACGCAATTAAGCTCGAACCACAAATAAATTGCTTTACACACGTAAAGGCCTCTTGTGGAAAACCCGAAATTGTCGTTCGAGAAATAACAAATGACTGCCGTTCCAGAAAAAAACAAATGACTGAATCTGTCGATCATACTGCCCGCGTTACTTCGAAGAGTTCGAAAGAACGAACTGATTCGCACATAGATTTAATTTCTTTGCTCCGATGCATTCAATTAACGACATCGTAATATCGATTTTATTATCTTGTCTTTTTTTCATGGGCATATAGTTTTTCAGCATTCGTTACGTCTTTATTGCTTAATAAACAGCAGTTTATAAGACTTTTAGCATATTATAGGGTAATAAATAAAAAAAATCTTACCTTAAAACATTTAGTCCGACACAACAAAACACACCGGGGAGGATCAGCCGTCAAGCAGCAGCCGGGACAGGAAAACAACTGGGCATACAGGCTGAAACGTGCGCGAAACACAATGCGCAGTGTACCAGGGTTCCAGGGTTCCACAGTACAGTGCCAGCAACGGAACCTGACTTATGAATGATATGGCTGCCTTTGAAAGGTATTCGCTCGGGGTGAGGAGCGCGGGCGGGTTATATAACCGCCCGATCGATATGCAGGGCGGGCGGAGCGTAGGCCGCGTCCATGCTAGCCTGGTGTTTTTTTATTGCACAGCCATGTGGTAATGGCTATTTTATGGAATCAGTTCGATTTACGATGCAGATAGTAGATTGAATTGCGAATAGTTTTCCGCTCACATTGTATTGCAATGTTAGGTGAGATGTGATCCCTTTTATTAGCTCGTGCTTAAGTGCGTACTGTGTGAAAGCACAGAACTTGCACATAATTTTATGTGAGCTACCATGATATTAATTTATGTTTTTCACGACTGAGTTCATAAAAACAAACGCCTATATCATAAAAATATCGTAGGTAAGTAGGTATAAATAAATTCCAATATAAATGAATTTCAATTATTAACTTTTTTTTACTAATTCATTATTTTAATTATGTCATTAATAATTAAGTACCTACATATTATAATAAATATACATACGTAGCGTATGTAACATTGTAACATATGAATATAATCTTTTTTTTTATGATTTCTCTCAATATTTTTTCTTGATTCATTAATTTCTTAAAGTAACTTTCTTATCAGTAATGATCTCCGGAACATAACAAAGCCCACCCACCTAAAGTATAAGCAATTTACTAAATGGACTCTAAATATGACTCTAAAAGGACTTTTCTAATTTCATTTCCTTTAATTTTCTCAGTTCCTGTGTGAACAAAGGTTTAAGTGTAGGCGGTATATAAGGCTTCCCGTTCTTGAGTGGTGCCTTTTAATTGAAGGCGCCAAAGCAGCGGATGTCCCGCTTTTTCCTTCAGGAACTGGAAAGTATTTCATAAAACTATCTCGTTATGAACTTTGTTATCGGTTAATTGGAGAAAAGCTGGAGCGAAGCTGAGCTTTATTACATAAGGCAGCTTTCAAAGAAATTATATTTTAAATGTCGGCTTCTACAAATGAATTTCAGTGAAAAGTTGCTGAAAGACTTTCGCAAGAGTTCTGAAATATGGTGTAATTTACAGGGTCCCGTATAACTTTTGAAAAATTATCTTATCACACGGAGTGGCTTTACCTAATAGATTTTTTTTTCAAGCAACAGTTGAAAGGCTTTTGCATTCCTACTGAAATCAGGTTATTTGTAGGGTTCTGCTAAGTTTTAGACCGTTGTAAGATAACCATGTTACCTGTCCGTCTCACAGGTAATTTTGTCTCCGAGACTTGATGGATAAACTTGAAACTTACCTACTTTGGACGGATAAACTTGTCATGTGACAAATGAAAAACACGTTTTTCTTGAAAACCCTCGTCATATTTATCAAAGATATCAAATGAATATCAAATAAATGGCTTATGATGGAGATCTTCAATTTTTATTATCATAAAGTATCGCTTTATCCTTTTAGCAATTGAATGTACCTAAGTGTTAAGAGAAAGGAAATAAAGTATCTTAGTTAACAAAAGAAATATCGTGAAATATCAGGAGTAGTTTTATTTTAGGAAAATATTGTATGGAACCTTCTGGACATAAGTAACTCACATTTGGTTGGAATATTTAAAAACGTTGAATACTTTGAAAGGTTTCACAACATTTCCACAAAGCAACTTAGTAAAGGGCTGTAAAAATATCAACGAGTTTAATTATTTGTTTATTTCCTAGTTGGAAACCATAAACTGAAATTATTTTCACAAGAGAAGGGATTGTATGCGCTTTGAATACATTTTGCGAGTGGGCGGATGGTTTGTATGCAAACCTGAATAAACGAAAGATTTGTATGCAAAAATTCAATCGGTTCGTGTCATAGCTCGCCGTGCTAGTGTTTTATCTGAAATCTACTATGTGTATTTAATAGTTATATTTTAAACTAGCTTTTTCCCGCGGCTTCACTTACGTGGAAATTGTCACAAAAGTATGTGTTATGTTAGTATTATGTTAAGTAATGTATATAGGACTGATAGTAAGTTAAGTGTTTGGAGAAAGAACTAGTGTACCTACGTTATATAGTTGGTTATTAATTAATCAAGCCAAATAATCGACAAAAGTACGAGTATAACAACACTGAAATAATGAATTCAACGATTAAATGCGTTACAATTAAATAGTGGTTGGCGTGTTTATATCATAGCAATATTCTTCTATTCACATATATTTGTGTGTGATGTGCGTTTACGGGCTATTTCGGGGTTCGTTTGATCTGCCAGTCAGCGTTTTGCTTTACAAATTGGGTGTATTTCACAGTTAAGCGAACTTGAAAATGTATAAAGCAGGCATATAATAGCTATTAACGACAATCTACCGTAAACAGTGTTTGGATCTTCCAAGACATTTCTAAGTTGGGCGACCCTGAAAATTACGTATTGAGAAAAGTAAACGGCACAATTAAATGTCACTTGCAGTATTGCCGTGACATTAAGGAGTCTCAGGTTTGATTACTACTCGGGCCAATCTCGTAAAGAAATTGAAAGTAAATTATCATAAGTACCCGAGTTAGCAACAATTCGACGGCTGATTTATACACTCGAATCCCTTTCACAGAAAAGTGGGTACCATGTAGAGATTGATATAGAGAGGAGAATATGTTAGTGCGTCCCAATGGTACCGAACACGATATCGCCTCCGAAATTACGTCTGTGGCTTTTCATCACAGCCTGGATTCACATTCTCATTATTGGAAATCTTTTCGCACGTAAAAAGATGTGGGCAAATCCGACCATGAAATTTTCAATAAAAAAAATCCGGAGCGGAAAATGGTCAAACCTTGAAGTTATTGTCAGAGAGCGGTTCGTTTTTCTCGCTTGTTCCCATGGGAACGAGTCACACCAAAACGAGTTTACTCGTTGGGAAAAAATCCCATCGAGTCAAACCGTTAACTCATCGGTCACACTGTAACCTGTATTTTCGTACAGTAAACTTTAAATTACTTAAGTATTTTGTTGATTTTAATGTACATATTCTGTATTGTTTCTTTATAACGAAACTAGCTTTGCCCGCGGCTTGACTCGCGTGAAATTTCGTGTCACAAATTGGTATAAATTATAGCCTATATGTTTATCTGGGTTACATACAATAATACTGTAAAGTTTCAACAAAATCTGTTCAGTAGTTTTTGCGTGAAAGACTAACAAACATCCAGACATCCTGACATCCTGACATCCAAACTTTCGCATTTATAATATTAGTAGGATTTCTAAATATCATGTATGTGTGAATAGGTAACAGTGTGACTGGATGGGATGTTTAGGTGTGACTCGTTGGGAACAAGCCATATTTTGGACGTTATTGGAACTCATCAATTCATGAAATGAAATGAAGTTAGTTTATTCAGTAGGTACATAGGCCTTTTCCTAGGCACTTATAATCATTCAATTTCAATCATTAAATTAATATGTTGTTTATTCAAAGACATTGTAAAATAAATTACTGAAACAATCAAATAATACGGTAACGTAGTTTTATTTCAGCGTTTCAAAGAGGCTAATCCGAATTTAATTGTATTCCCAAGACTCTTCAAGAACCAATTTAGGATCTAGAAAATAAAGTAACTTAGTTATTTAGATACTTATCTAGTAAAAACAATCTGAGCTGGAGGCAGAAATAAATCTGCGCCATTTCAGTCTCGGCAATTGTTTAGATTTTATAGTGTTTGTATTAAATTACCGTCAGAGGTATTGTAAATAATAAGAAGTACTTTTGTGAAGAATTAACTACAGTTAGGAATAAATTTCATTTAATGTTTTTCTAATAACTTTAGTTACCACTTACATAGACATCCCCCAATGATTTCCACATCACCCGGTTTTGTAGAGGCCTGCATCCAGCGTCTTTATGAGGTCGTCGGTCCACCAAGTACACATACATGGATGTGAGACTGTTGCATGCATGAGTGCATGTTTTTAGTATCAGTAAATGATTATTTCGAAAATAAAACTAGAATCAGTTTTGAATGTTTATTTTTTGCACATATAAAACATCAATAAAGACAAGTCAGATTGCGTTGTCGCTTCTCTTAAACAAATTATCATTAAAAATAAATTACAATACTATAAAGTTACGAAATAATATCATTATCTTTACATAATTTGTTACGTACTTTTGATTCATGGCACTTTGTATCACTAGACTGTACTTAAACTTGATAAAAAGAGGATTATAAGTATATCAATATTGCCAGTTTTATTTGAAGAAGTATCTATCTTTGTTACTACGAGTATATCGTCGTTAAGCTGTAACTTCTGGCAAGAAAATTTACAAGAGCCAAAAATATTTTTACCTAGCTATGTTTCTAGTGACCAACTATTCATTCTAAAGATGAATAATAATAACGTTAAGATCAATAATATAGTTAATTAATGACGCAATTTTAAATCTTCAGTCATGGTGTGAACTTATAAATTATGTTATTAGAAAGAATATAAAATTAAATGATGCTACGAGTACTTTGGAGATTGTTCATACGTATTATTTGATATGATTTATGAAATCATTTTTGTTTTCAAATCATAGCACCAAAACAAATAGGATATCTTGTACTTTCAGTTTACAGGTTTATCGATACTAAAACTATAAATATGATCTAAATAAAAGATAACCAAAATCGGTCACGTTAATTTCACACATACTTTTATGACGGTTAATTTCGTTACAGAATGAAATGATGACAAAATGTAAATGAAAGACCTAAGATAGAATATTACATGGTTGATGGTATACATAAACTACAAGGTCTCTACATACATGAGAATCACTTGGATTTCTTTGGCCCGAAACATCTACAAGCGGATTTCGGAAATGAGATGAATCCTTATACACTAAAGTCCGGTCACCGAGCACGTAGAATTTCGCTTGTAATTAGCTATATTGCTGTCGCGCTCGCACACTCACTGCGGCCGCCCGTCGTACAGTTGCGACAGCAATATAATTACGCGCGAACGATAGGGATGGGTAGCTTGGGGTCTTTGGACGAAATTCTACGTGCTCGGCGTCCGGACTATACAATTAAATTTTACGACTAAAATTCCTCGAATGGGTCAACGGCGTCTCCTAGTTTGACGAGACCTATGAAGCTCTTCTCGGGCTCCATGAGAGAGTGCCTGTCGCCTCCTGTGTTCCTCACAGCGAGCCTGTCTCCAGCTCGGAGGAAGAGGGCGGCGGCTGAGAAGCAGGAGTTGGGCTTGTCCAGCCTCTCGACTGAGTGGGAGGATTGGGCGCACTGGAGGAGCGTCTCACGACCTTCAGTCTCTGCGTTGGTGCGGTGCAGCACCCAGGAGATAATGTCGTGGCTGTCCAGGTAGTAGATCTGTAAAAATATTTCAGGATTTGAAATAAGTTACTAAGTATAGTAAGTAAATTATAAGACTTATTTTGAAGCAAACCGGAAAAGAAAAAAAAACTATGAAGGATTTGATAGTCTTCTTCTTGCTATGTTGCTACGAGTCATTGGTAGACCCGCGTTGCTACGACACGCTACAATAGTGCTTACTTCTCGTAGATATCTGCATTGCTACGAGCCTACGACACGTTACAAATGCTTATTATTTCGTAGACCCGTATCGCTACGCGCTACGCTTACGTAGAATACATACTTTCCATTGACTCGCACTACGTGATACGAGACCACGCGCGGTCAGCTGCTTCGTCTGGTAAAACTTACAAGCTGCGCTCGGGCAATCCGATGCATGTTTAAAAAACATTTTTGTGCTCAGTTTACAGTGCGCCTACAACGTTCGCTTGACGCAGCAGAGCCCTTATGTCCCAAAAAAATGATATGATACATGCAAATCACACTATCAATTAACTCTCAGCTGCACATAGACCAGGTACACGCCAGTATGGTGCACGTGCACGTGCCCGCTCCTGGTGAGCGTGGGGCGCGGGTGCGGCGCGGTCTGTGTCCAGCTGGACGGGGACCACACGTTGTGATGCTGGTCGTAATAATATACTGTCTCACCTGCACATAGACCAGGTACACGCCAGTATGGTGCACGTGCACGTGCCCGCTCCTGGTGAGCGTGGGACGCGAGTGCGGCGCGGTCTGTGTCCAACTGGACGGGTACCACACGTTGTGGGGCTGGTCGTGACAATATCACTGTCTCACCTGCACATAGACCAGGTACACGCCAGTATGGTGCACGTGCACGTGGCCGCTCCTGGTGAGCGTGGGACGCGAGTGCGGCGCGGTCTGTGTCCAACTGGACGGGTACCACACGTTGTGGGGCTGGTCGTGACAATATCACTGTCTCACCTGCACATAGACCAGGTACACGCCAGTATGGTGCACGTGCACGTGGCCGCTCCTGGTCAGCTTGGGGCGCGGGTGTGGCGCGGTCTGCGTCCAGCTGGACGAGTAACACACGTTGTGGGGGTCGTAACAATATCACTGTCTCACCTGCACATAGACCAGGTACACGCCAGTATGGTGCACGTGCACGTGGCCGCTCCTGGTGAGCGTGGGACGCGGGTGCGGCGCGGTCTGGGTCCAGCTGGACGGGTACCACACGTTGTGGGGCTGATCGTGCGCCACGCGGACTAAGCCATTGCCTGGAACAATATTTGTAAATTATAAAAGGAACCTATAGACTAAAATACGTTTACATTTAGGTATGACAAATGATAACCCACTCTAATAGGCAAAGTTGAAAAAACTAGAAGATGGACTATTTAATTTTACTATCTAAAGCAAAATTAAGATATCGTTTCAGGCTATGAAACTGGGAAATATTTCAATATTTGGCCACAGCAGTCTAAACCTAGATAAAGGATTTTTCTAGTTACATAAAGGCATAAACAATAATTAAGGTTTATAGCATCGTGATATAGACTAGGAATCATATTTATAACAGTATTACAGCTCAAAGCTTCCAATTTCAAGCCTTTGTAACTTTGATGGATCTTTCCCCAAGGGATATCGTATCCCCCTTTAGAATGGAAACAATATTAACTACGTTACTATGTTAACATGTTTATTTATACGATTATGTACAAGACTAGCCATTGTATACGTCTATTTATATTGTTCTAACCTTCACTGTCACAATTTAAGTCCACGGTATAGGTATATTTATTACCCTTCATTGATTGTCACCCTAGCTAGTCTACTAAACGCTCGCGCCGAAAAGTGGTCGCAAATGAATGAAAAATAAATCTGGGTGAGTGAAACCTCTAAGAATTTACACTAAAATAAGAGGTTCACTAATTTATTTACCTTTGTAATGCTCATGGATTTCCGGGCTGAGGTGTGACGTGTTTCCGTGGAAGTGGGCTGCGATGAGCGGCTTCGGGCGACCATCCTGAGACAGACAAATAAATAAATATACAAACAATTAAACTTAGAACTTATAAATTTATTATAACAGTAGGTACATGACAAAAAAAGAAGGTATATAAACTGCGAACAGTATCGTGACATGCTCGAAAGGGCGGGCATATTAGGTATGTCAAGAAGCTGGTCTTCTGTGGACGCCCTATTCCCAATAATTTACCTGTTTCGGTTTCTCAACGTTGCTTGCTGCTGAATGATTTGGAATGTAGGTATCATATTTTTGCCCATCTCAAGAGACTTTTCCCATTATTTAGCAACTAAATTGACTGGCAGATTGTACTACTTGGCTGCGACATTAACGAACCAAACCAACGGTTTGCGTGAGTAGCGAGGAAATTGTCAATCTCGCCAGTCATGTTGGAGCTTATCTGCCTCCTTGAACACGTTATGAGGCGTTCCTGTTGGCTTGCTACGAGACTACGAAAGCTACGAGTCTACGAAAGTTCCGGGTTGACAACCTTTGAAGTGACCTTCGAATGTCACTCGTGTATTCAGCGGAGCTTTATATTATCGTATCTTAATTTTACGTACCTAGTTATGTGGAATAATAAAATACAAGTGTTTCTGATTTCAGATTTTAAGCTTAAGAATGCTCATTTTCTACTTAAGTGTAAACTTAAGCCTATTTTTGCGTCTGAGTTAGTGTGAATTAATTTGAGATCAATAAAATCTTAAATTGAATTATCAAAGTTACGTAATTAATTCACAATAAACGGGTACTTCATTATTCACTTGTAAATCAAAGACGAACAAGTTCGATCTTAATTTTATTTTCCTTTGTGTACTTATACGCCTACTTATTTGCCTTTCACAAATCGCTCAAAGTCAAGTAAGCTCTATTATGGAGTAAGTATAGCTCTATAATATAGCTTTATTTAATTAAACATTCTTTTCATGCCAAGTTTTCATGCCCTTTTAGAAACCCGGGACGTGGAGGCTCCAGGCCATATTTATGAACCAGACATCATATTTTTAATAATAATTTGCATTGTCAAAGTTTCTTTGGAAAGGTTAGACGTGACGTTGAATATGAGCCTTGTCTGAATTGATATTATTTTGAGACGTGATATTATTAGATCAAATAGGTAGCATGAACATATTTGTTTGTATTGGACTGGGTGTTTTCTATGTAAGTATAATAAGTATGTATTTACAAAAAAAAAAAGTATTTAAGTATGTTTATATCCGTTGTCTAGTACCCATAGTACAAGCTTTGCTTAGTTTGGGACTAGAAGCGCAGTGTAAAATGTCTAAGGATATTTATTTATTATTATTATTCACACACACAAAATGTAACTTTTGAGCACCTACTTAGAAACTGTGGGCGGGTGACACAAGCAAAAGTACTTATATAATTTAAGTAGAAGGAAAGTTTTAAGCTCAGTTTGATTTTCTAAGAAAAGTAATATTCGAAGTGAATAGTGAAAGCGGCACAAACAGATACCTACATACATAAAAATCTTTCTTTTTGAAACATGAATTTGTTATTTTGCACTAAAGTTGTTTATTTAGTTGAAATAATTGTTTCCGTGTCTAGCAGTCATACAGGCTTTAAAGAACAAGTAACTCTTACCTAAACCTTCGCTAGTACAATATAGACTCATAGACTGGCAATTCGAAAATTGACCCAATAAATTATATTGCCTTATTTATTTACTACTATCTTATTAATTACGAAATATTCAGCGTTATACTACTGTAAAACTCACAATAAACCTATTTGAGACGCTGATTTATCCGTAGAATGTTTATATTTTACTAGAAACTAACTTAAAACTCTACTGAAAAAAGCTTACCTCACTATTCCTGGCGGTCCTCGTGATGGCGTGTAGAGGCACTTTGGAGGGCGAGGTCTCTACATTCGACGCGAACTTCTTACTCTTACGTCTGCAACAAAGAAAAACGGTTATTTTGGGAGAAAAAGTATTTTAAGAAATACGTAGGATTGACATTTAATTGGTACTATATTTACGAGTAGAATACACGTGAGATGATAATGTGTGGAAATTTATATTGAAACGCTATTTTGGGATTTCTAATTATAAGTAGGAGACACCTTAATATTGTATTGGTGTCGTACTTTATGAACATAATATTCTAATATTATCATTAAATTCATTAATTAATTTGAGTAAAATGTTCTTTGTAAACATCAACTGCTTCTGGGGGCTTAATCCCAAAGGTCTATGACTCTATTGTTCTTCTTTTCCACCGGATCCATGTAAAATACCAAGAAAACGCTTTTTATTTTTAATATCGTGGAACTCCTGAACCCGTTGAAGAGCCTCCTCGTTGTGGATAAAAAAAAATAAAGTATGAATTTAATTTAACCTTTGGAAATAAGCCCGTCTGGGCCGAATAAGCACTCTTTAAATAATATAATCTTCTTCGTGTGATGTCGACAACAAACCTACACAATGTCAGCCCAATACTCCGCTACAAGAGTGGCGTTAATAATATAATACTTGCCATACAACAAAAATATTATTACTTATTACAAGATAACACCTGTAAACGTGTCTAACGTTTCCTTTCATTAGTGAAGGGTTGTGAACAGGTTAAATCAATATCTACGGATTGTTACCACTTGGGCTTTCTAAATTAGTTGCCGTGACAAAGGTCTGGCGACGTAATGTATTTGGCTTTAGGCTGTAAATAAATCAATTTGGTATAGATTATTGTAGCATGCCAAAGAAGAGTAGGTACAATACAGAATGAAAGTAATTTATAACTATATTCTCAATAATCGCTACAAACCAAACAAACAACTCACTTTTTTTAAACTGGCTCTAAAACTCATTTATTTCTGTAAGTAGGCTTTAAAAAAGCACTTTTACATGTCCCAGTATTAACCCTACCATTACTTCAGGACAATAAATGGGCCAGTGCTGAGAAGAAGCAGCGAAAGAAACTCAGACACTATTCTCTATATCGTGAATCTCTTAGTCATTACTTATTCTTTAATGCCATAAAATTGGTACATAAAGTGAACTTAATGCCATAAGGCATTCTCTGTGAATTAAACTTGATGACTGACAATCATCTAAGGTACCTACCGTACAATTACAATGTAGTTGTTGCATTTGAGCAATAGAATCAATCTTTTTGTTCGATAACCCAACATTGTAACATCCTGTATACGCATGCCTTTTGTAAGGACAAACCTTTAGTGCGGAAATAAAAACACTTCGGATAGTTAAACGATGGGTGCTGGACGAGTAATTAACGATAATGAGGCTGGGGCGGTTTAGTGACGTCATTGGCGACTTAATTAAAGCCTTGCCGGCAGGAACCTCTGCTAATTATTGACTGTGTGTGGTTCATTTAACGAATTTGTCGCTTAAAATAGATGTATTATAAGTTTCAATTATATCACGGTATAGGTAATTAATAAATCTGAAATATGTAGCTGGATCGGGGTTGTGGATTTAGTTGTTTTTAATACTCTTTAAAAACAAGGTTAGTCTTCAGTACCATTCCTTATAGGATAAAAATGCTTAATAAAGGATCAATGTTATACTTGGCATGATATTAATGGTATTGACTTAGTTACTACAAAAACTTGGCAGAGAAACCTTAGAGACTGCTATAAAAACCAGCGAGAGTGTTTTGTTATTTTGGTGAACAATTTACTCCGTACACCCTTAGCATAAGATCTATAAATGTTTTTTTTTTTAAGTGAAATAGGTACCTTTTGTTAACAGAATAAATCTAATCGTGTGGCAACTGCCTAGACATGACACGCCATTTAGACGAAATCTTAAATTACCGACTGCTGAATGATACTTAAATTCTTAATCAAATTCATAACGAAATAGAAACGAGATGTTACATTATTAATGGTCATTATTGATCTTGTAACACTCCGTCAAACTAACTTTGCATAGAATCATTATTTATTTAATTTTACAAAATATTTTTAAACTGCAGCAACGCATATCTCATATAAAAATGTTGGTACCCGTGGTGGAGTTAAAAGATTAGCTTGTTTACATATCCCGAGATAACCCGGTCTTTTGGGACTACCAAGCTCTAGCAAAACAGCCATCACAAATTCATACCATATGATTATGTGCCCGTGGTTTTAACCACGTGATTTTCAATAAAAAATAGTTTATGAGCTAAGTACTTACGCGTTGAATTAACATTGCAAAGTTGTAGCGAAGGAGTAATAAAGATTCATCAGTAGGTACTCATTAACTTACGGCATAAAAATCAGTTTGTGTAGAGCCACATTTTTAAGAAGGGTTCTCATAGACTCATGATGATGAACAAGTTTCACAGAATTGGTTAAATCAATGGAAACTTTTTCTAAGGATAAACAATCTTTTTTTCGCTGCTACCATTAATCCCAAAGTAAAGGTTCATCATAATCATAAACCCGTAGAATACTAAGAGTACCTATCTGTGGCCCTGCTTATGGCGCATCCACACATGCCGCCGGCTTATGCCCGCCGGGTTTGCCGCCGGCTTATGCCCGCCGGATTTGCCGCCGGCTTATGCCGCCGGGTTTCCGCCGACTTTCAGTCTGCCTTGCCAGTAAAAGATGCACGACCGCCGCGGCGGGTTGGCTGCCGGCCGTGCGTGCCGCCCGGCATGTGTGGATGCTCCATTAAAGAGGACTTTAAAGAGCAACACTTTAAATTGTATTACAAGTCAGCTGTTCTAGTTGTTCGTTTCTAAACAAACTGTAGCATTAAACGAGCTGCAGCCTCGTGTCAGTCCTGACTCCTGCCTGCACTATATTCGCATGCGATCATATACACGTTGAAACTTGTTCTCGAAATAGTTTGCGGATGTTCTAGAAGCACATAGAACTGAAATCTATCAGTATGACCAGACGCTGAAAGAATAGTTTGGTTACTGCTTACACAAATGAGTGACTAGCGAACTGCAGGTTCTAACTGTAGTTCTGTACTATGGTTATAAGGAACAAAGTTTTGTGTAAATTAAACAAACTATTTTGTAATGAGCTAAACCTGGTTGGGTTATAAGTTAACACTCAGTTTGCAAGTCACTCATTTGTGTAAGCAGTAACGAAACATTTTTTTCAGTGGAGAACATTCTATTTTAAGATCATTATTTTAGTGCAGAGGCGTAAATACAAATTCGAAATATCGCCAGTTCGATCCTGTTGAAGTGAACCCACTCCTAGCACAAGTTCACATAATTATTTAGCTTTAAAGGAGCTAATTGGATTAGTCAATTACGTACTTGTACTTTAATAACTTCTGAGAAAGTCCCACCTACTTAACTAGGAAAAATTACGTAAGGGAACGATTTATGTGTACAAATAGGATACACGTGTACGAAACTTTTCGTTATTTGTTCAGAATCAATTTATATGGGTAAACAAAGTTTTACACAGGTTTCCATAACGGTTGAAATAAAATATTTTCAAAGAGCACTATTCCAATGAGTATGTAGAACGGTTTTGTCGCGACTGCGAATAAAATTCAAGTACTAACTTACTTACAAAAACGCTTGGAACTAACGTGGAAATAAAACGCAACACCCTAAGTCCTTTTAAAGTCTTTCAACACCATTTATTAACTGCTTTCGAGCGAAGAGCGCAGATGTACAGTCAAACACATAAACGTGTTATCGTGTAATTCGTAAAACTACAATTAATTAATGTAAACTAATAACTCCGTTTTTGCTAATGATGTGCTTTGTAAAATGATAACTTTAATATTAATTTGAATATGTTTTTTAAGATTTTATAAACAAGGGCGTTGGTTCTTTTCCCACGGGATCTCAAGGTTGACTTTAGATTTACTTCTTGGAACTTTTTCAGAATTTTAGCACAGAGCTTTCACTCCGTAAATGAAAGAAACAGACGCTTTTTCCACTTTTTTGTTCGACTGTACTTCTAGAGACGTGACGGATTATGTAGCTCGTGCTTTTCTGATGTCGATAGAGCGTGCTGTGTATTGGTAAGCCGATTAAGGCGGTGATACGTGGAATTATACACGTTGACAAACTAAATAAGCTTAGGTGTTGAGTGTTAGATGGGTTTCTAGTTTAATAAGATCTTATCGTTATTTGTTGAGGCGTTAATCTATATCGTACATCTAATTTTTGCTGTTGATGAATAAGTGCAGTGACATAAATGTCCGATTGTAACTTATAATTACGTAAAGTCTGTGTTCGGGCATCCAAAATGATTAATTAACAAATAACATTTAACCATCTTAATTTTTTAAAGAAAGTATATTTCAGCATACAGTTTACAAGCTGTGAGAAAGAGACACATACCAAGTTAAAGTCATATCCTAACATAAACCCACCTTTCTCCATGGAAATCAACTTTAAAAGTTATTTTTATTTTTAGTTAATATTCAAAATAATTTCCGTTCTCTGTAAGTCACTTGGATATTAATGGAAAACTTATTCCTGGCACGTCTAAGTATTTCCCATTGAAACTACTACGAGTATAAGATTTCGCCTGAACTCGCCTGGCTATTACCACAGTAGAAATGAATACAGAAAGGTAAAGAACGTTCGACCGTATATTATAAATGATTCTCAGAAGAACAAGACCAGATTGTTTCTCATATTATAACTAGCTACCTACAGAAAATAGGTACTTTGGTTACGAATTAACCTACAATAAAATAGGCCTGTTTGCGGAAAAGCTTTTAAACCATTTTGTATTGTCCTCGTAAAAAATTAATGGCCCAACTGCGTCTTCACTTGTTGTGTATGTTTCAGTAGATATCTCTCAAGAGCTACACGTTTCTCGCGCTGACTACTTCAATAAAGTATTAATTTATTACTTCAAGACCTACCTACTTCAGATGATAGGCAACTAAAGAACTATTTAATAATGTAGCTATATCTAGAGTACGTATAAATAATTTCAAGGTTAAATGTTTTGCGACTGTAAAAGTTGTTTGTGTCCGTAACAATTCCATGAAAAAATGTGAAGTATAGCCTGACCAGGAACATAAAAACCCTGGCATAGAGGCGCGTCAATTGCATTTGATAGTGCAACACTGAGTACAGTCGTACCTGTGTTAAATTAATAGGCTAACTTTATGTATCCGGATTCAGGATTACGGGCTAATTTGATATTTTCATAAATTAACGAAAAAATATTATTATAGGTAACCTGGTTTAAATAAATTAAGTGAAACCATCAATCGAGTTAGTAGGATTTATTTTATTATTCATCAATAATCAAATTCAGAACTTGAATATTCAACTGCAATGTCTGCTCATGAACGCTTCAAACTCGGTACTTCTNTCTAAAGACAAGGGCTGCCACAATAGATCAAACCTGGTCGATTTGGCGCAAATAAAGGCCCAAAAACCAATAATAATAATAATAATAATACACGTACGTCTAGCTAGTGCTTCGTTTCATTTTTATGGTAATACTTTGTTTCGCACGTGTTGTTTATTCGCAAAACATGACCGGCGTAAAAATAAAATATGCGCACTGGCAACATTATACGCCTATAATTGTGATTGCAGGCGAAATGTAGACGAGATGAAATACGAAATACTGCGGTTGCATTCCATGTTTGCACGTGCACATACAAACAATAACAGAGTTTACAGGTAATGTAACGAGTGTTGGAATTTTTAATTTTAATTAGAGGTTGTAATAGCTTTGTCTCTATGTTTATGTGCTGCAAGGGTCTGTCCATCAATCTCCCTTATTAATAAAAAGTTACAGTTGTTGAACATTCTTTTAAAATGTAATTCCCATTCTAAAGGACGTAGCACACTTATCAACCCGGAAAGGGATCGTAACCGTATCAACTCGAGACGGTCAGTATTCTTTGTATGAAATACCATACTGCAACGCATACTTATCCGCACCGTAATATAAACGCCTCGCCTCGAGGTTAATAAGTCTGACTCTGCTACGATCTAAAACGTCATTTCAAGGCACTGTACGAGCGTGTTTTTATTACTAAGACAAAATCGATGTAACTTTGTACAAAAGCACCTTTAGCATCTTAAGGTTAAAAAAAGATACTTAAGGTCAAACGCTTTTGGTAACAATGCCTAAAAGCTCTGCTGAAAAAGCTTCTTATATCTGCTCATGGACTCAGACCTGCCCTATCTAACTTAACGTTTAAAACCTAACTGCCTGTTGTACAACAGGTCAAATTTCCGAGAGGACTCGTAAAACCACTATGTCACAGACAAAATAGACGTTTAGTTTCGGTCTAACTTTTACAACAAGAATTTAGCGGACTTATCTTTTGTACATAGAATTACGATGAGACCAATTTTGGGTTTTAATATTTTTACGAACAAATGTTTCTGAACTACTATTATATTATTGTTGTGATCTTTGCAAACACTTTTATTCTAAAGCCATACTTGAAAATGTGACAGAGAATTTAAAAAAGATTCATTTACCCGATTTACAAAATGGCACAATTGAATCTTAAGCTTAGGTCGAAATTCTTGGATCCAAGGATCGATATTGAATTACCGGGATTCAACATTTTGACTTTAGACATTTTTAATAGATAGATAATAGAATTTGTATAATAAATTCACCGATCCTCTACAGAGGGGGTTCTTTCTGAGAAATGTAGTCAAATTAGAAGGCACAAAGAGAATTGTCTACTACTTATAATATTGTAGTTCTATGTAGGAATCAAACTAAAACATTTTTGTGTTATTCTTTCATCGTCTTCCCTTATATGCAACTGGTCTCTAGGTGGTCTTGAAGAGATCGTTTAAAAATAAGTAGGTATCAATAATACCGCCTAAATTGCGCTATCTCTTTTGTGTATTTCTTTCTTTTCTTATCATGTGTGGTGTACATTAAAATGAGCTCTGTCTCCCTATTGATAAACATGAATTTATTTGGCCATGCTGAGTGATACACGGCACCCACTTTTCAATTACGACCCTGTGCCTCAAAGGCTAAAAAGCCGAAGCCATTTCGTAAAAAGTGTGTCCCCTCTCCTTCATGACGATCGGTCAAAAGAGAGATGGTTATGGCGCGAGAGAGCTAATCTGCCCTTTTGTCCTTATGTCTGAGAGTCCTCCACCTGGACATGAGCTCCCCTGGCTTACCTGGAAGTCTTTAAATAGACTTCGAACGCAGGTTGGCCGTAGTAAGGACAATCTGGTCAGGTGGGGATTCTTGGATGGCATAAACATGGAATGCAGGTGTGGTTTTGTTCCCCAGTCGATGAAGCACCTGATGTCATGCCCTGAGTGCCCAAGCAACTGCACTCATGAGGATTTGACGAGTGCTACTGACAACGCCACTCTTGTGGCGGAGTTTTGGGCTGACACTGTGTAGTTTTGTTGTCGACACGAAAAGAAGAACATGAATTTTACCTGTCCTCAATTTTGGCAGGAATCCTGGGCGCTGCGAACTCATCCACCATGTCAACGGCGGTGTCAGGGAACACGCTGCGCTTGTCGCGATCACCGCTAGGGGACGCTGCTGCCGCTGAAGTGGCGGCTAGGACTGGCCCTGGAATATAAGAACAAAATTTTACATTCAAAAGTGACATTCTTTATTTAAATTTTACATAAATAAAATAAAATAATACGTTATAAGTAACTACAAATAAAAATATGCATATTATTCGAGTTGTCATAATCGTGTTCAATGGCTATTTTAGAATCTTGACTTACATTCAAATTGAAAAGTAGGTAATATTAATTTCTAACGCAGATAAATAATAAGCTTGCTTTCGAACTTGAACGGATATTAAAGTCTGATTTTTATTATTGAAAGCTTATCGTAGACAATCAGAAACAATTTCCACCATATTCAAAACTGATCATAATAGGAAGAGTTCGTAACGGTAATGTCACAGTCATTACCTATGACAAAATTTAATAACAGTTTGATCTGTTTCGGTGACTCGGTCAAGGCTATTTCAATATACCTACACCAAACGTCTAATCAAAGCGTTTAATCAACACGTGAAACGGACAATAAATTATGTGTTAAGAACAGACTTACTTCAAAAATACCTACTTTTATATGACCACGTATGCAATGTGGAAAATTACCTGCATATCTACTATAATAGCAATTATAATACATAGTTCAGGCGGGTATAAGTCGTATTGGTTCATTACTGTTTATTGTAAGCCTCCATGAGGGCGACGTATAAACCCCCCTTAATAAATAAAGATTAAAAAAATGTATTTCAGTGTTTTTAAATTTTTAGTCCAAATCTTTAAAGAATTCACTAGCTAGACTTTATCTTATAAGCACAAGCATTTTTATCCACCCACGTACTCGTAGATACATAAACCCAGACCCAGAAATACCAAAGTATTTGCTTTAATTTCTTCAAGAACTTTAAAAACTATGTTGCAAAATTGTTCTTAGGTTTGCACAGAAACAAATGGCACTCTCCAGCTTTTATTGCTTTTCCGTTGTTCAATAAAATACACTGCCCTGGAAGTAGAGCTTATTGAATGATTGCCTATACAATTACAAAGGGCACTAGCAATATTGCCAAGTTTTCTTCGTTACTCTAGAGGCAATGATTGAAAGTTTTATAGTAGCAATAAACGTGCAGTTTGAAAGTACCTATAGCTGTTCGTTTAAATCTTAAAGTAATTGGAGCTGTCATTTCTGTCTGTCTCGAGATTCTAAAACAATGAATAGCAATTGAATCTATATTGGTTGTTACATTGATTTAGCCGTGTGCATCTTTAGCTACATGAATAATTTGGTATCGAATTCCAGACCAAGCAATTTTTGGCTGTTAAAGCATTTTAAAGGCACTGCACTGACCTGACACCTTATTATTTTCAGAGATAAAGTTAAAACATAAAAACAGCTTTTAACTACATTGTTACATAGTCACGTTTATGTTCGAAAATGTTCTGAATAACACATAGGTATATTTTATGCCACTACGTAGATATTTATAAAATAACAAGACTATCAGAGATCAGTTCGGCACATAAGTAGTTCGGCATGGATACAAAACGCAGTTAAAATTAGTAAACAATGTTTGAGTGAAATACAGAAGTAGGTACATAGTAACGTGTAGGCGCATACCACTCTTGCATTAGAAATGAATGATGATTTGTTTAACAGATATATAATAGGAATGCGGCGCAGGCGCTTAGAATCGGGAATCATCCGCCCACGGCCAGATGGTTTCATTCACTGAACTATCGGTACCTACAACAATCTAGACCTTATTGCCTGGATTTAGGTATCATGTTTTTGTGGCGGTCAGTCCAGGTTATCTAGAGGGCGGATTAGGTACACATTACGTTATCAGTTAGTTATTGAAGCGACCAGACATTCAATTGCAATGTTATCATTGGCCTTTCCCACGATAACACTGATAAACGGTAATTATAATATAATTACCATAATGTTAGTAAATAAAATAATTCTGGGAGCGAATAAATAAGTTAGTGTTGATGCATAAAAGATGCCAGCATAAAAGAATAAATCCTACGTCCTGCTTATTTCCTATGCATTTTGGAATGATTCACACATTTGAAGTAGTATACTTACTCATCGATAGGACTTACGATATTGTAAAGTCCTTGTTATTTTAGGGCTGATTTTTCAGTTGCCAGATAATTTTTAACTGGATAATAAACTTTTCATTTTGACATAGTTATTTCCCATACTGAAACTGTCAATGAGCCAAAATTATTCTTCAGATAAAAGTTATCCGACGATTGAAAAATCAGACCTTTATAATATTACTATTACTACATATTTAGAATTACTATACCTATGTCTGGGTTCTCCGGGTTTTCATTGAGCACCTTCTGGAGCTCCCTGATCTTGGACAAGGCGACCTTGTCGCCCTGGTCGAACTTCATCACGGAGTCCGTGAAGTCCTCAGGATGTAGCATCACCATGTTTGTTGTGCCAATCTGTTAGAATAAGATGAGATCAGAATTGTTTTTAAATATAGTACGACTAGATAAATCATTATACACATAGGCATATCATATAGCTGTTCAGTGTGGTCTTGTATATTTCCAGGCCTGTCAGTTCATCAAAGGAACCATAGGACTAGGATGCCATCCTTGCTCCTGTCATAGTTCTGTCTATAGCTCCCATTTTAGTCATAAAAGTCCTCCTTGTTGGACAGCTTCGACCCCCATCAAGTCTCGTAAACTTGTAAGAAAAATTCCGACTACCCTTACCTTTTTGTTGTCTCTCCTCCTGTCATAAAAGTACAACTATCGTCATCTGTTTGGTCGTCATCCAGTAAAACCTCCACCTCGTAAGATTTCAAGAAATCACATTCCTTACCTACTACCCATAATACCTTAATTGATGTTTATTGTCCGTGGTACATATCTTTTCATAAAGGTTACTAAACCTTTGTTCGTCACCTGTCATCCGCTTTGCAACGGAGGGAAGTCGAACCTTAACTTCGAACTCCTCCTATGTTCTTCTGATTAATTTCGTTGCGGGTCCAATGTCAGTATAACTTTCTCCCGGGACAAAGTTGACCTTCACTGGTTGGGTTTTTATTGGCGGTGAAGCTGTAGATCCTGGCTACACAGGAGTTGCAGCGGTGGAAAAGAGAGGTGGAAATAGTCCCGTATTCCTACTACCCTTACCTTTTTGTTGTTCCTCCTGTCGTAATCCTGGTAGTAGTCCCCACTCTCGTCGTAAAGGTCCTCGTCGTCGGACATGTCGTCGTCGGGCATATTCTCGTCCTCCAGGATGGTGAGCTTGTGCAGCTTGTCCAGGGAGGCGTACTCCGACGCGTCTTCGGCACTCTTCACTGGTTCTTGGTCGTCATCGGCGTATATCTGAGGAGGAAAAGGAAGATTAACTTTAGGTACTATAATTAAGGGTAGTTGTAGTTTTAATCAAATGCATTCAATTATGATGAGCAACCTTAAAGTGTTGAAGTGAAAAATCTAAAGTGTGTAAAATGTGTGCCTTGAGGAGTCCACACCCATAACCTCAATTTCTGGTGGCATTTCTATAAATATTTGTCAAAGCACTGTCGAGGATCGTTTAAACTTTTATGTGTCTAGTGTCATATGATAAGGCTTTTCATATCTTTATCTTGTTTTCTATAGTCGAATGGCTATCGTGAAATGGTAATTGAAAATGTCTGGCTTCTTAGTTGTTCCAATCAGTGTTATAGAACACTAGTTACCTACACTCTGAGAACGCGTGATCATCAAGTGACGTGAATTTAAATTAAATTCACGTCTATTATTAGAATAATTCTACATGAAGAGGCCTAGTCTAGTTATGAATAGTATTTTGAACATGATTAAGTAAATTCCTCCCTAATAGCTGTAAAATGCGTATTTGAGACAAAGCTTTTGAGTATTCAAAGGCAAAAAGGATTTTCCGTGGCTGAATAAGTGTTTGATGTTCAGATTCAGTTTGATAAAGGTTCTGTCTCTTTAAGTATCATAATAACAGATTTAGGGAGGCACTCCTGCCATCTGAGTATTCGCAAATAATTTACATCGTATCAACTAGAGAAATACAGACTCAAAGGGAAATCGAAACACAGTCCCAATACAAAATGAGGTCTTGGCCCGATTTATGTTGTGCCAAATACGTTATTTTTTGCGGGGAAACCAGAGGATAATGTTCTATTAGCTTAATATTCTATTTTCCAAGTTTTGAAGCCAAGATATTTTGTAATATTATAAAAACAATCTCCCGGGAATCCTCTACAAATTGTCTCTGTCTCGTGTCTCACGTATTTTGTGTCTCGAGTTAATTAAGAGGCTTCGTTGTTGATCCGAAACTAATATCTTGTTCGGCAGCTCTGTAATTCCCTACACGTTAGAACACAGTCTATTAAAGTCATAACTTTGCTTTGGCATTCTGTAATCACTTCTTGAGTTAATTAGCAAATGACTGATAAAACACAAACTTAGAATAGAAACACGTAAGTAGCACAAATGTTGAGTCCTAGTTTTCCTTATGTCTTCACCAATAACGACCATGGTCCCGTAATCTGCTTAGTTGTGAATAGGGTAACTAAGCACGCAATAAAACATTTAATTTCATTTGAATGCTTATTAAGCTATTGACATTCAAATTATTAATACTGCTACGTGAACATAACATCTCACCACCCACTAAACTTCTCTAGATTTCATAGCTAGTTTTGTTCATTACATAATTGCCTTGTGCTGTTGGGAGTATAAATAGCTCAATGAAAGTCAAGGCAATACACGTAATGTAAGACTCGATCATAGAAAATGTTTCATACGTCAACATGGCGTGACAAATTGTTACGATTATCGTCACGAGTGACAAACGAAATGTTGACGTGTTTGGGAATTCGCCAGACACATTATGGTCATAAGACTTATCGTCCTTATAATTATTTTATTTTCTTCCAAAAAAGTTTTTAACTTTTATTAAAAGTGAGTGAGAGGGAAAGAAAAGTTTCTACATAATATGCTTTACGTTTGTCTATTTCTCAACCACGTAGACACAGTAGACACTCGGGTAAGACGCTACTCGTGACGTATTTTCAGTATTGAATTAAAGTTAGACTTACAAAAAAGTCTACATGTGTTTATAAAAGTAATATCAGCAACTTAAATGCAGTGCACGCAAAAAGTGCATTAAATCCGTGCATTCTCTGCGTTCCATTTAAATACCAAGCGCTGCAATTATCCGAGCTCTTGAAATATGAGCGAGCTAAAGAGTATCGCGTATCTTTACGAGCAACAAATGTACGCGTAATTAGATCGTCCGACCCATTCACACCCGGGAAACAAGTAATGAGTGCGAACGGGATCGACGATCGTTTTAGAGACAGTTGGCCGTAAAAATGTTAGGCACTCCAGTCAATTAATTTGCTTAGAAATTACTCGTACATGACATATTGACTTCTTTTAACCTGCAGAGTGAATCGAGTAACCTGAAATACAGTAATTAATCACAAAATTTTCAGAAATTACACCTACAAACTTGAAATCTGGCAGGTAGATTCCATATAGCAGCGGTTCCCGAATGGTGGTCCGCGGAACCCTGGGGTTCTGTGGAAAGGCCGCAAGGGTTCCGTAAAAAATATTATCCCACGTTTCGTGACCGACGTTATTCGCTCGCACCGACTTGTTTACGCACAAGGAAGGGGCAGGGCATGCGGGCGGAGTAGTACGGGGGTTCCGCTAGGAAAAGTATAATCAATTAGCTAGGCTTCTAAATCTTTGGGGCTAGCTGGCGCTGTGTGAAATTGTCCAAAGATTATTTATTTATTATTTATTAATTAGGATTCCTTGGCAAAAAAAAATTGGGAAACCCTGCCATATAGAACTCTCCACTGGAAACTCCACCCCTAAGGGGGTAAAACGGGGTCCATGGGTACGTAGTCGCGGGTGGCCGCTAGTTATTTCATTTTAATAGTTAACTTCTAGTCATTATCGCAAATTCGCAAGTAGGGTAAGGTGGGGCACAATGTTACACGGGGTACAATGTTACAATGCATATTTTTCCGTCCCTTTCTATTAGTTGTATGATGTTCAGCGGCTCAGTTCAGCAGCTCTTATGAGCTTGACAAACGTGTATACCAACATCATACAACTAATAGAAAGGGACTGAGAAATATGCATTGTAACATTGTACCCCGTGTAACATTGTGCCCCACCTTACCCTATGTTTGATAAGTTGAAGTACCAACAAAAATATGAAATAAGTATTCGAATTACAGGCTGAAGGTAGAGTTAAATCAAAAAGTAGATTCGTTTGCCGCCGCCTGTACCTACCTTCAAGGAGCATTAAGCGGTCTGTTTTAAAAATAAACTTCTAATTCTCGATTTGATTCCGATAGCATACGAGAGTGGATCGGGTTATACGCGTGTTTACGTGATAAATCCGATATATCTCTCAGAGTCACATAAATCTAACGCGATGCGGTCTGGAAACGTTATAGCAATCTTAAAGATAAATTAACGGGAAGCTTGACTGCTGAAGTATTACAGTGGGGTTAAGGATAAATTGGTCGCGGTTATCTACACTAATATTATAAAGAGGAAAACTTTGTTTGTTTGGTTGTAATGAATAGGCTCAAAAACTACTGGACCGTTTTTAAAAATTTTTTCACCATTCGAAAGCTACATTGTCCACGAGTAACATAGGCTAAATTTTATTTTGGAAAAAAATAGGGTTCCGTAAAATATGTAGATAATGTAGTCCACGCGCGCGAAGCCGCGGGCGGAAAGCTAGTTGATTAATAAACATGTTTGTCTTCATATGAGACTAGACACAACCAGTCAATAAGGAATTCTATGTATCGCAAACAACTCAAAGAGCGCAAAGAGAGATACGTAACGAGAACTATAAAAAACCACCATAATGGTTTTAAATTAATTAATTAATTGTAAATCTTTAAAAAAATACTAACAAATTCTAACTATACATGTCTTAATTGAAACTCAATTAATTACATGTTTTTATACTTTTTAGTCATGAATTAAAAAAAATCTGTGCTAACAAACAAAAAAAAACAGCTGAATCAAACGAATTTTCAGCGACTATACGCCATTCAAACGCTGAAAATTCGTATTATATTATTCTTTATATTCTAATACTTATAGAGAGTCGTAAAGCATCTGCTATATTTGATATTTATTAATAAGCACATATTTTCATTTTCTATATTACGAAAACCCTTATAATTACAAAAGCTCTTATACTTAGTTTAATTGTACTTTATTAAATACATACTAAGGTCTGTCTAGACAGCGTTTATAAAGTACACGCCCTAAAGGGAATTTTAGATGGAGGTAGCAGTTCACTGGAATATTTGAGATACTATGTAACACTGTGATAACACTTTAAGCAACTAGGTACTTAAGTAAATAATGTTTGTTTCTTTGGAATTGTTTAATACACATTACACGCTTGGCTGCGTATTTATAATCAATGTTTCATTCATAGGACCTTAAGTCAAGGTCTTGTTACATACAAAATACCCCTGCCATATACCTAAATCCTAATCCATACCCCAGTGCAATAGCATGTACTTACAAAAAAGATTATCTCACATAACTCAGTACACATAAATCGGCCTGAAACTTGTAGAAAAGTAAACATAACTGTGCCGGAGGGACTTTAAGATAAATTCTAGAATCAGACTTAGTCTAGAATTTCAGTCCCTCGGGGCTCTTTTATTGATTGCTGTAATCTGAACCCCATTCCATATAACGAGGTTGAAGTTTCTAGGCTTTACTCTGGAAAACTTTCATATTTTCTTATCGATCTGTCTCTTTCATTTGTCATACGAATGAAAGAGACATGAAAAGCCTAAAATCTGAAATCGTTTCGAAGAATAGGTCCTCAGTTCCTATGTTACCTAGTTGCAAAGTTGTGTAACAGGCGTTTAGGCGTTTTGCCAAACGTAATGGGTAACGCCATGGGAGTTGTAACGTTAAAAGGTTCCGGCCACTCGCTTTAATAAAATAAACGGTTTAAAACTCTAGCATATATTTTATTATGGCCAGAGCAAAGTTTCATTGCAATTAGTTGATGAAATCTAATTGTTGGTTGTAAAAACTGGGTTTGAACGTGAAAATTGAACACATTTAATACGCCATTCATTACAATCACTCAATGCACTTACTTTGTTTAGTATAGTTTTATATATACTTTTTTCATCTCTACTACAAGAACATGACTCTATAATTTACCGAGGCAAATGGAGAATTTGGCCAGCACTCCCCACGCTCATTCACAAGTTTATTTTCAATTTTAAATCTCAGCAACGTAAACTTCAATGAAGCCTCACCCTCTGATTCAAATTAATACATTTTCCGATTCAATTAGT